GCCTGGCTATGGCTGCAGCGGAGCAAGGCTGCAGCCATGCTGGCTGCATGTGGAGCTCTCTCAGGAGCAGTACACTCCCACTAACCTACTCAGAGATGTGGTAAATTGTGTGTTTGATTTAGACAATTTAAAATGATCTGTAATTGCAGTATGAGTCATCCACATGAAGCTCATTGCACTCTGGTGACCCGGCTCTTCAGATTAGATCTGTCAATATTTCTGCCTATCAAACCAGATCCCAATCCAAGCTGTCAGCTCTTTTCCAACAATGGCTGCACTCCTCCCTTGCACTCATCACTGGCCTGTCCTGATCTGGCTGCATTTCCAGGATAAAAGTGATGACTGGCCTACCGGTCATGTGGGCTGCAGTCAGTGAGGAAGGGTTGACGGCGGCAGTTGTTTTGATTAGTCTGAAATCTGTGCCGGGGCAAAGCAGCAGAAATTTCCATGCTGGCCCTGCCCACCCTAACGTCAGCCCGGCAGCTAAATCCGAGCCTTTGTGTCCCGCATAGCTATGTGGATTTGTCAGCACTGAGGCAGCAGCGGTGGGAGGTAAATGGGATGGTGAAAATGAAAAGCAAGATTCTTTCCGATATGGAAGGAAGTTATAAAACAAGTATTAACTCTCAACAATATTCAACAAAAAGGTCTGACGCAGCCAATTAACACCCTGATTTAGACTCGACTCCAAACAACGGAGTCCTGTTGTAGAACAATACAATCACATGACCCCTTTTAAATTAAAAAAAAGAGGATGAGTTTTTGTTACAATGTATCTCGTTGGGCCATTGCATAAAACGGAGACAAACACAGTTTTTGGAGTTTACAAGTAGTTGATTAAAATCCGCCTCATCAGACAAACAGGCAAGCAGCCCCAGTGGCGATCTGCATCAGACACGGTGCACAGGTGCAGCCTGTACTAAAGCCTGGACAGAGAGGACACAGTAGGGCATAACACTGATACAGCTCGCTGGCTCTGATGAAGACTGGTCCAAGTGGGTCTAAATTGTGTGGATTTGTTGTGGATTTATATAAAAAAAACATTCTGTAACCAATCTGAAAGCAGACATTTGGTTCTCTATTGGTTGGAAATGTCACACCACAGATTGTATTGATATTTTTACTAAAATGAACAAGCTGGGTCTTCCCGCTCTGTTGATTTCTCTCCTGTCTTTGCTCGGGCGAGTATTCTCAGCGTTTACCAGGTAAATCCACTTCAATTTGCTTAATTTGATCACAGCTCTATAAAAAAGTTACTTCCACAAAACTTTTGCTAAACATTTTTTCCTTATCAAGAGTTATAGTAGCCTTCTCATTAACAGTAGGGCTGCAAGGTTGTCATAGGGCCCAAAGCAAAATATGCTATTGTCCTAAGAAGACTAGACGTATAACTGTCAATCAAAATATGCACTAGAGTAGTCGGGAGGATCCCATCAAGTGGTGTGAGATGGCCAACGGTGCTGTCAAGTGACAGATTTTACTGTCTCACTACTGCTGTGGTCCAAACTTTAAAGTGTGTTGGCCCTCTGGTGCCCCCTTGTGGCCTGGGGCCCCCAAGTCATTGCCTGGCCAGCCAGTTGGCTCGTGGCGCTTCCACTCATTAGGCCACCTTACTCTAGTACAACTCAGACTTTGTATTGTATATTATACAGAGGTTTGATTTAAGTTTGTAGTTTAAAGAGACTGTACATTTTTTGCTTTTAAAAAGTTTGACCTTTATGAATGGGTTAATGCCTTAAAATTGATATTGTGATATAGCTATGTGTGAACATATTTTATATACATAAGTTATGAAAACTACATAAATCAATTAGTAAACTGTAGTTTTTTAGCTTTTGTCCATGAAATAATTATTACATTTTTGTTGAATCCAACCAGATATTCTTAAAACTCAGTTGCTCTGCTATTATTCTAAACATATTCTGTGTATTCTGGTCATTAATGAGATATTTTAATCTGAGTAGAATATATCAGATGAATAAATCTTTGTGTTGGGGTCAGGAGGTGAAGTGAACCACAAAATCTCATCAATCTTTGGTGACCTTACAGCAGTTAACCAATGTTAGACATCACTACAGCACAAACAGAACGAGTGGCACAGTGATTTGTGAGTTACATCCTCTGATTCAAACGATGGAAAATAATATGTTCTCATGATTGATTATTAGGGTTGAACATCTAATCATCAGTACACAGAAGTAATGGTGATTTGGTGGAAAGGTTTAGGAACATGACCCAAAATTGCTGCACAATTTCTTTCATTGTTGACTTTTTGTGCCAAATCTCATGTAAAGCAGCACAGCATTGATAGAGGAAATGTGCTGCATTACAAAGTTAATCCTTATGTCAGCAGATGGGCTGACCAGCAGAGCTGCAGGGATGGGTGTGCAATGCAAGACGAGGAGCAGAAGAGGTCAAAAGCCCTTGCAGTCCGTCTGGTTAGGACTAGACGAATGGAGAAATTAGTCAGATTGTGCCAAAACCCAAACAAGATGAGGGAGGAGAAAGACCCCTCTGCTAAGTAAAACAAAAAGTGCAGAAATTTCTATCTCATGGTAATGGGAACGTAAAAGCAGAGCCATAATCCCATTTTAATCGCAGTGGATTTATTAAACAGAAACAGCAGGTTTAAATCTCAGCAGATTATTCAGAAGGAGCTGTGGAAAGGTGTGAGGTTGGTGAAGCTTATGCAATCGGGTGCAATTCAGGTGGTGCTTTTTTTAAACACAGCACTTTTGGATAGGGACAGGGTGTGCATTTCAAGACCCTCAAAAATGTGTTTTTGCACAGGAAGTCTTTCCCTGGATTAACATCTTGAACTAAGAGTGAGATTATTCCTTTATAGAATATCTGTTGACATTAAAACCAGCTGCAGATGTCAGCAATTATTATCTCTGTGTGTGTGGTGTATAAATGTAATAATTATTTCCAGTTAATAATTTTAAAAAATCACATATTTGTGGCCCGCGGAGACTTTTAATCTGACGATTTTGTCGTGAAGATTTTGGACACCCCTGCTTTAAATGACGATGCAATTTTTGTAGTTTAGCAGCTTAAAAAAATCACAACGAGAAAAAAAAGAAATGCTGTAGTTGTATTCAACTTTGACAAAATATAGGAAGAAAAAACACCAAATGTTTACCAGCATAGACCCTTTTGGGATGAGAACCAGTGACACCAAGCTGGAAGTTTTTGAAAATAAAATGAGCAAAAATGATTTAAATGTGATTTTTTAAAATGCTAAACAGAAAACTCAGCACACAATATTTCAACAAAAAGAAGAAAAAATGTTTTTTCAAAAGACACATATCTGTAAAACTTAAAGGTGCAGTATGTAAGATTATAGTGAGAATTTTACAGTGAGAAAATCCCTAAATTCCCTGATGTTTCAGTTATTTTGGAAGGAAGGTTATACTGAAACGTATTTCATATCCAGCTGGCTGCGGAGATTGTCAGTTTTTCTCCTTTCAAACAAAGGAAGGAGGGACGTACTGTTTACATCAGTGAGTGTGGAGTTGTTGTGTCTCCTGCGAGCTAATGCTGCAGTGCCAACAATGATAATTTGACAACAGCCAGCAAAAAGCTTCAGAGTTGTTTAAAGTGGTTGCAGTAACCACATTTTACCAGAGAATGTCAGTTTTACTTCATTCCTACATAATGCACCTTTAATTGATACAAGACAAAAAGGATCTTGTGTTTGTTTTAATGAAGAAAATTTTCCTGAATCTGAATCTTATTTTTTCTAGTTTCTTAGTCTTCTATTTAAAAAGCAACAATTGTTGTTCTTCCGCTTCTCTTCCCAAACCCTCACTAATATCTTCATTATTGGCTGTATTATATATCATTACCTTGAGGAGAGAAGGGAGACTAAAAGAGGAACTATGGGTCCTATGAAGTGGAATAGATAATCGATCAAACAGATTGACATGCTAACAGCTAGTTTGAGCAGAGCCAAGACAATAAAGTCTAGAAGCTAATTTAACCCATTAATGCCAGAAATATTACACAATAAAAACCCACTTGAATTTATTTTCTAATGTTAATATAACACCTATATATATAATAATCTGTTTTGTTTTATTGCGTGATTCTATAAAATAGTGTAGTATCTTTAGGTTATGAGGAGCATTGTGTTGTTTTACATTTCAGTGTTTGGCAATTACTTGTGTGGCCACTAGGTGGCACTTGAAGTATTTTGGCAGTTCAGTGACACATTGCAGCTCTCCGAATCATGGTGAAATATTAATATTCCGTACCCAAGATAACATTGAAGTTCCAACTAATGAAGATGTAGAACCTTATTTGTCCTGCGATAAAACAAATAGCAATAAAATAGGCTGTTACCACCCATAGGTCCTCCACCAGAGGTGATGAAGGAGCTAATCCTAAAGCTGTATATATGTACACCTTCAGTACCGAGTGTATTTACATCCTTGTCATTGGACTTTTTCCCGTGAGACATTCTTCAATCTGCTGTGTCTGCCAAGAGAGGATAATGGTGGTGCTGCTTAAAGGGAGCAGCGTCCTGACCAATCACAGGCTTGCGTGCTTTATCACTTTTGAAGGATAGTTACAAAATTGGGCACATCTCCATCAACCTCTGCAGGCCTGCTGCAGAGCCCAACATGTAATTGTGTTGTCTCCGTACCCTTCGCAGATGGAGAAGTATCATATTCAGTCTGGATGAGGCCAGAAGGGGTTTAAAGTCATTTTTGACTAAAGTACAGAAGTTATCTAATAAATACTTTCATTGCAATTGCATTATTCTATTAAACATTCTGAATCCAGCTTCTGACAGCAAAAGCAAAAATAAGTATGATTTTCCTTTAGGCCAACATTCATTAAAACACCTACAGAGGTCATTTAAATGTTAAATGCTGACACAACTCCATTAGGTTTTTGTGAAGTCTCAGTTTGTCATTTAGATTTCGAAAACATCAGTTTACACGATTTTTTATTAACATCACGGTTCCATCAGAAAAACTACTCAGGAAACCATAAAAGTTTCTTCTTTTATTTCACTGTGGTCCAGTTTCTATGTAGATCATTAATCACATGATTCTCAAATCTCATGAAAATAATTATTAAAGTTTACAGTTGGTGATCAAAGACGAGAGGAAAACAAACATGTCTGAAGAACAATATGGGGTGCTCCATGGGACACTAGCTCAAAAGCAACTCGGAACAAAAAAAATGTGAGCAGTAACGCCACCTTGTGGAGGAAAAATGGCATTTTATTTGAATTCAAACAGGTGAACTGATCCGTTTTCAGGAAACAACCCAGCAAGACAGAAGAGAACAAAAAGCAGTGACAGCATCCAGGATCACTGATGAACAAAACCCAAGCTGGTAAGTTTCTCTTTAAGGACTGAAGCAAATAAAAAGCTGGAGGATTTCTGTAAAGGGAGATTTATTTCACAACCTTGTACAAAAATGAAACCGTTACAGGTTCAAGACCTTTTCTATACAAAGCAGACCAATGTAGACACCCATAGAATCACATAGAACTCATTTTATTTCTGAATGCTTCATCCTCACCATTTCTCGCCTTCATGAACATTTCACCCTCTACTGATGTATGCTATAGTGGCAATAGGTTTTCCTGTGATAACCTACAAACAGAGCCAACAAAGACTAACGTGATGGTGAAAGAAAAGGGAGAAATGAAGTCAAACAGAGCAGATGCGACTGTGACGGGATGGTCTCAGTTCTTCAGCTGGTCAGTGCTTCCAATCCAAAATGTCTTCATGTGTGATGAGCAGTAACATTTACAGGTGATCTAAATGCTACTTCCTGTAGGACGCCAGTGCCATTTATGTCTGACTCTGTTGATCTTTGATGTTTGTATCCTTAGCCCATGAGGTATCCTCTGAAAACATAAAACACGGGTTAGCGTGATCTCTGTTACCATTACAGAACTGTAACACAGAATTTGCCCCGTTTGTTTTGCCACTTAAATGTTGCAGATCTAACATGTTTCAATATCAGGACGAAGACAACCTGGGTCAACACTAAACGCTGTTTTTAATAGATGATGTCATTCGTTAGAGAAAAAAAGCTCTGAAACCCAACCTGGCCTCATGTGAAAACGTTTTTGAATCCCCGGTTAAGTCATGATTTACAGAATCAATACGGGGTATTCCCCCTTTCTGAGTTTATGTACAATTTTAAAGAAATCTGTAAAAATGAAAGTCTGACCATATTCTATGATATAACGTAGAAAATATGTATTTTTTTCTTTTACTAAGTTGCCCCCGCCCCGTAGAGCCCCATGAAATTTGAATTGAACGCCGCTCAGCATTAGTCAATAGCCTTACCCCTCCTTTCCACTGGATGTGAAACCACTGCGAAACATACTCTGCAGCAATTAGCCGCTATTATAGTGGATGGACGCCTTTCCGCCAGCCATGAAGAGAAGCAACTGCTATTTTTTTACACCATATGTTTTCAGAACTCTGCAGTTCAGTTCAGACAGGAAGTCATACACGGAAGCTGCGTAAAACATAATTAAAGTCCCATAGTCATCGTCACACACTGGTGAAATTCATCTCTGCATTTGACCCATCCCCATGGAGGGGAGCGGTGAGCTGCAGCGGTGGCTGCGCTCGGGAACCATTTGGTGGTTTAACCCCCCCAATCCAACCCTTTAAAGCTGAGTGTCAAGCAGGGAGGAATTGGGTCCAATTTTTAAAATTCTTTAATGTGACCTGACCGGTAATCGAACCCTGATCTCCCAGACCCAGGGCGGACACTCATAAAAGTAGTGTGCAGATTTCCAGTTGCTTAACTCATAAAGACAAGTATGTCATTTCATGTGAAACCTCCAAAGCTGAGGTTAACAGAACAGAACATAAACCGCAGACCTTCTTGGACACGTGCGGTCGTCTTTCTCCTCAGAAACTCTGTTCGAACTGATTACAGTTCCACCAGCCACACCCTGACCTGAATATTACCAGACCTGTAGAATTAAGAAATCCCTTCTATAGAACCTGTCTGATAACATGAAGTGGGTTAAATATTTTAAAAAGCAACACATCATCAGGAATTAAGGAACAGAAGAAGACAGATAAAACTAATGTGGGCATGAATGTCTCATTACATCTGTTGTAAAAGTAACGTTGGTTACGTATTGTAACCCCAGATTTTATTTCGTCTAGTCTTAGCCCTTAAGCTAGCTGCTATTGGAAGGATGATCTCAGCATCAGCCAATCACGAAGAGCTTAAATGTACGCCCACCAATGGTGGGCACCCCTGTGGGTATATAAGTGGAGCGACTCCACTGTTCGCCTCAGATGGCTCTTAGTCCTACAGAACCAGTGGGGCCAAGTGGCTTAAGGGCTGCGACTAGGCTCATAGAATCTGGGGTTACAATACGTAACCAACGTTCTATTTCGTCTAGTCTTAGCCCTTAAGCTAGCTGCTATTGGAATAATGCGCAGCTGGATGGGTTTACGCCACACTGGTTAGCTCAACCAATGGACACACCCAACATGTCTCCTTTTAGTGAGGGTCGCTCAGCCTCAGCCCAGGGCTTAAAAGGCTGAGGCAGCCAGAGAGAAGAGTGGGGCCCCACTAAAAATATCATCCACAAGAGGATGAAATTCATTCAAGTAGGGCTGATGAGGTGCCATAATGCTTTCACTCAGCCTGCTGAGGTCCAAGCACTGAACGAGTGATGGATCCTGAAGACACATCTCGTAAATAATAATAATAATGCATTGAACTTATATAGCGCTTTTCTAGACACCCAAAGACGCTTTCACACACTCTCACATTCACACACTGCTAGTGATGGTAAGCTACTTGTAGCCACAGCCGCCCTGGGGAGGTCTGACAGAGGCAAGGCTGCCATTTGGTGCCGTCGGCCCCTCTGACCACCACCAACACAGGCAAGTTGGGTGAAGTGTCTTGCCCAAGGACACAACAGCAGGATACCCCTGGCGGGAGCTGGAATCGAGCCCATGACCCTCCGATCATGAGGCAACCCGCTCTACCACCTGAGCTACTGCTGCCCCAAATAACGAGTAAAGGAACAGGGTGAAGCCCGTGAAGCAGCCTGACAAATGTCTTCCATCGACACACCACTGTGGGGCGCCATAGAAGAGGAAATCCCTCTGGCTGAGTGAGCCCCGAGTGTCTCAGGAGGATTCCGCCCTGATGATGTATAAGCGAGTGAAATGGCGTCACATAGCCTGTGTGAAAGACGCTGGGTCGACAGCGCTTGCCCAAGGGAAGAATCTCTGTAGTGCACAAACAGGATTTGTGAGCGGCGAATCCCTGAAGTGCGTGACACATATCGTGCGAGCGCACGCACCAGGCAGAGAAGGTGGGAAGCCGCCTCCTCATCAGAATTATGGGGAGGAGGAAAAAGTCCAGCCAATGAAATTGACTTGGATTTGAAGGAAGTATTAATGTTTTTGGGCACAAAGGCTGGGTTGGGGCATAAAACAGCGGACCCGCCTTCTTCCCGTATCCTGAGGCATGCGGGAGCCACTGAGAGGGCGGTTAGGTCGCTCACTCTCTTGACTGATGCCAGCGCCAGCAGCAAGGCAGTTTTGAGTGACAGGAACTTGAGTGAGACCTGGTCCAAGGGTTCAAATGGGGCTTCAGATAAACCGCGCAGAACCACCGTTAGGTCCCACTGGGGAAATAGCGGGCGGGACACAGGTCTGTTCCTTCTGACACCTTTTAGAAAACGTTTTGTGAGGGGATGATTGAAAACATATCTATCTCCAAAACCCTGGTGACAGGATGAGATAGCTGCAGCATATGTTTTAATAGTGCTAAATGTGAGGCCCCTGTCCATCAGCATCTGCAGAAACAATAGGACATCCGCCAGCTGGCAGGAGAGCGCTTGAACATTCCGCTCTGTGCACCATTTCTGGAAAGCTGCCAATTTAGCAGCATTAGATGGGGTAGAAGGCGCCCGCGTACTCTGAATCGTGGAGACCACATCATGCGGCAGCCTAGAAACCTCTAAGCGTGACCGCTCAGCGGCCAGACCCACAGCCGTTGGCCTATTTCTGGAGGATGTTTGATTATCCCATCCACCTGGAGAAAGGCGTCCGCCCTCCACGGGGAGCCGGACACTAGCGCTTGCAGATCTGGAAACCATGACGCGGACAAGCATCTGGGAGCCACCAGAATTACCGAGAGCTGTTCCGACCGAACTCGGTCCAGGAGATGGGGGATGAGTGGGACTGGCGGGAACGCATTCAGGAGCATCTGAGGCCAGGGCTGGTGTGAGAAGGCGTCCACTCCGAGTGGGGGGGGTGGTCCCGGGGACTCAGGGAAAACCACAGGCGACACAGCGTTTTCGCGAGCCGCGAACAGATCCACAGAGGGTTCCCCGTACTTGATCCATATCTGTGATATCAGTGCGGGATGCAGGCGCCAGTCGGAGTCGCGGGGTCCCCCTCTCGACAGGATGTCTGCTGCCACATTCAGGACCACCGGAATGTAGGTGGCTTTGATGGACAGCAGGTGGACATGTGCCCAACACAGTAAATCTGTGGCGACACGCAACAGTGGGAGGGATCGAACTCCCCCTTGGCGATTTATGTAGGCTGCCGCTACCCGGTTGTCTGTGTGAACTTCGACATGACGGCCCTCGAGAAGAGCAGCGAAGTGTCTGATCACATTCCTCACTGTCATCAGCTCCAACACATTTATGTGCTCTTGCATGTGGGAGGGTCAGCGATCTGCCACCGTATGGGACAAGCACGTGCCCCCACAACCCAACAGTGACGCATCCGTAAACACAGATACGTGTGACGTAGGACGTCCGATGGGGACCCCGTGTGAGAGGATGCAGGGATTCCCCCAGTGAGTGAGGTCCCCGCCCACTGAAGGGGGAACCCTCAACAAACGTCTCTTCTGACGTATCGGGTGTACCCGGAGGCGGATGAACCAACGCTGTAGGCGTCTGGTGTGCAGTAAACTTAACCTAATGGCACCACAGCGTGGGCTGCAGCCATCATGCCCAGAAGTTTCATGACTAACAGGGCTCTCACGATCTTGCGGGGTTGCACGCGGGAGATCACCGTGGTGAGATCTGCCACTCTCGCCGGAGAGAAACATGCTCTCATCAGGGAGGCGTTCAGCTCCATCCCGAGAAACACAATCGACTGGGATGGAAGGATGGAGCTCTTTTCCCAGTTTATGGAAAACCCCAGGGTTGACAGATGCTCCATTGACTTCCTGGTTTGCTCTGATGCCTCTTCCTTTGACCGGGCGCATAGGAGCAGATCGTCCAGGTAAAATAAAACCCTCATTCCTGATGTGCGCAATGGCTGCAGAGCGGTCTTCAGACATTTGGAGAAGGTGCACGAGGCTAGCGAGTAGCCGAAAGGGAGACGATTGAACTGGTATTGAACTCCCTTGAATGAAAAGCGCAGGAACTTCCGGTGTTTGGGAATTACTGGGATGTTGAAGTATGCGTCTTTCAGGTCTATTGACGTGAACCAGTCCCCGGATCGCACGTATTCTAGGACTTGCCTCATTGTTAACATGCGGAAATGCATCACTGCTATGGAGCAGTTGAACAGAGAAAGGTCGAGAATTGGTCTCATTCCTCCCGACTTCTTCGGTACTACGAAGTAGCGGTAGTAAATGCCTGAGAGCTCTTGTCCGCGAGGGACTTGGGAAATGGCGTCCTTGGACAGAAGTTCCCGCAGCTCCAGCTCCAGGGCCTGAGATTGTTCCTGTGACGTGAACGTCGTCTCCACGATCCCGTTGAAGGGAGGAGGAGCGGACTGAAAATGGAGTGTGTGACCGCAATGAATTGTCTCCGATATCCATTTGCTCATGAGACAAAGGCGGCGCCATTCTTGCGCGCGTTCCGACAGCGGACGCGTGTTCGAGGTCACGTGAACGATGTCTGAGGACTGGGTTCGCGCCCTTACCGCCGTCGCTCACACCAGAGAACTGGGAGTGACCCATGGAGGGCTGCGCTCGAACGGGCGAGTGTGAAACAGCTGGAAGAGGCTGATCCGCACCGCGGAGCGTGGAGTCCAAAGTTAAAGGACGAGTGGGAGCCGGGCCCGTGCACGGGGACGACAAAGTGCCAGCGGATGGAGCCGCACACTGTGTCGCTGCGCGTGGTCGCGACAGTAGTAGTGAGATGGTTTGGAGCTGCTTCGCCAACTTAGGACCTAGACCACTTTTTATATAGCGCTTTCAACAGCCTGAACAGGTGAGTTTTCAACTGCTTTTATTTAGAGTCCAAGCAGGTGAGGTGTGTAACAGCTGCAGCTTAAACAAACATCTCATGCAGCTTAGAGGAGATGTACAGTTGGATGTCATCTGCGTAAAGATGGTAGGAGATTTCTTTAAAGGAGCTCAGGATGTGCTGAAGAGGGAGCAGATATATGCCCCAGCACAGAACCTTGTGGGACGCCGTGGGTGAAGGAGTTGACATTACAACCTGTTATGCTTAGGCTGGATGGGGTTTCCCCTTATTAAAAGAAACTATTTAAACATGCTTTTTACATTTACTTTGTGTGACACTAACATGTGTTTGCTGATCTGAAATATTTAGGCGACAAAGGAGCAGATGGGTTTTCACAATACTGTGTAATCTTTGAGACATCAAATTATAAACACAGATCCCATTTTATCTACTGGTTTTGACTCACGGAAGCTTCATGCGCATGAACACTCTGGCCATGAAGAAGCTGAGGAGAACGCTGATAAACCCGATGAAGAGAAGCAGGAAGCGGTTGAGTTTTGGAATGTTCGGTGCGTTGGAGCGGTCCAGGATTATGAAACCCAGGCCTCCCATTGTGAAGAGAAAACTTGAGGCCAGACCTTCCATAATGTACTGGCCGTTAACTCTGGGGGGGAAAATGCATTTCTCCAGTTAAGCATCCACAAAATTATGGGAATGATTGATGTATATATATATATATATATATATATATATATATATATATATATATATATATATATATATATATATATATATATACGGCTGCTGTACCTGTAAGCCAGGAAGGCAACTGGCCGTTGGTGTCCATGCTCATCAGTCATCGAGCCAACACTTGGAGGCTCTACAATAACATCGTAGATGATTCCTGTGGAGTGGAACATTAAATGTAACCAAACCATAAACAAATATAAACTCAGGTTTAAAACAAAGAGCAGAAAGTCTTAAAATTACAAATAGGGGATGAGTGTTTTCACCTAGTGAAAAGATGTAGGTTACATCTTTATCCTTAAATTAATTCCCTATTAATCCTTTTTTGTTCATTTTTAATGTTTTTTCAAGAAAATCAGTCTCAGATTACAAACTCATGTGTTGCCACAAACTACCAGCAGGGGACCCTATCGAACACTAAACCTTGAGAAATTACCATTTTGTAAAACTAGCTTTAAAATTTCCTACAAACTAAATCCTGGCATTCCTCCCAACAAAGCACCTCGATTAGATCCTTGATACAACAACTTTTCAAAATCCTATCGGTTTTACCAAATAAACCAGGCTAATCTTAGCCTATTCTTTGTTTAGCTACTGAATTAACCTCCCTTCACATTTTACAATGGACGCGACACAGCTGCTTTATAAATGCAGTGAAACTGGAAAGATAAAGGCAGTAGAGACAAGTGGACAGCTAGGAAACAGGTCTTAACGAGATGCATTTAGCACAAACTAGCTAGCCAACGGCTCGTTTACCTCCTGTGATGAGAAAGTAGGACACAATAACGATCGCATACACGGTCATGGCCGACGGCATGTGCAGCCATGAAGGCTTCTTCAGCTTTATATTCGGACATTCAAGAACAACGAACGGAATGCTGTACAAAGTCTCCATGATGATTCTGGTAGAGCGATGCAGCCAAAGGCTGACGTTCGTCTGAGCGCTGACTTCGTTGACGTGTCCCGGAAGTGTAAAATAAATAAATATATAAATATATATATATATATATGACTTGTATACACGATTTTATAATATGGTATAATATAGCTAGATCCTAATATAATTTAGTCTAAATATGTTAAAAAGTTTGCTTATTTTTTGGACTTGACGTCATCTTAAAAAGACAGCACTACCTTTAATCAACTGATCATTTGAATAGGTTTAGTAGAAATGAAAAAAAGTGGTAAATGTAACTTTGTTTTTCGTTTTACTTACATAAGCTTATCAATTGTTCATACTTTTAAAGACCATGTAAGAAAATAATCAAATGTGCTGAGCATTTTTAGAAGGGAGATGTCATAATTTTGGTGTTTTAACAAATTCTGACTTTATTTGAACAAGCAGTTCTCAAAAATAATTTCTCGAAATTAATGTGGTCCGATTAGTTTGTTAAATGGGTTTTATAATTCAACTTAAAACTTATAGCCAAGTATCTTTCCATTTACATGTGTAAGATTAAATATGGAACAAATCTCTAGACCAGTGGTTCCCGTCCCTTACTTGAGTAGGATCCCCTTGCTTGAGCCAGGGTCGTCCTCAGCTTTAACCCAATACACACAACTAGTCATTGATTAGTTATAACTTTTATGGTCTTTATTATACTATTGGGTGTTTTATCTTTTTTTTTAACAAATTTAATCTTTGTAACCTCAAAATCTCAGCAGACATTTTTGCGAGGACCCCCTTGGAGAGTGGGTGTCCCAAACCCAGGTTGGAAACCACTGATCTAAATGAATAACAGTCTGGGTGAAATTTATACTGCTAAAACCAAACCAACCTTTATGCAGCATGCCCCTAAATTTGGAAAATAATTAAATTCACAATTGTAGCCATGCTACCCAGGATTGGATCTAATAGAGTATCAAGTATCAGTTTTTATTGAAATAAATTTTGACACAAAACTATCTTCCTTAAACAAAACAAGAAAAAACTACTGTGCTTACAAATCATAACTTAAGATGGGTTGGTAGCATCTTGTTTGCAGCCAGGAGTCAAAAAGCACAACATTGATACTGATGACAAACCTATATCTGCTTATATTTAAAAATGAAAAACAACACAAAGCCCTAATGTTTTTTTTTTATTGTGGCAATGCAAATACACATTTTACTTCGTTTTCTGGCTCTGTGCTTGTGCCTTAAGCACCTTGACAACGATCTTCTGCTCCTCAATCAGGAAAGCACGCTTGATCCTGAAATAAAAACAAAGATGTCACTTTAAATACATTCTGCATTCAAAACGTACACATTCAGACCTTTAGAGCAACCTTATAAACATTTTGCAGTTTTATCAATAAAAACCACTTTGAAATTAAGTACAATTTAGGGCTGCACAATATATTGCGATATCAGCATGCGCAATATGCATATCGCAAAAAACAGATTAATATCGTAATGAATGGTCAGCTCAAATGTTTGCTACACATAACGAATTCTGTCACATGGATGATGTTTTTTTTAACAAATCAAATGGAGCTTTTTACCCATTTGGCCAATTGGGTGGGTTCTCATAGGTTAGATGCCCGCCCCAGAGGTGGACAGCACTCAATTTTGATGGTTAGCAAACACCTGAGTTAGCTTTGCTCTGCTCTTTCTGCTGATTCTGCTTTTTCCAGGATCCACTGATTGCCTTCTCTTTTTCCCTTTCCTCACATATTTTGCTTTTCTCATTTTTACGATAATTTTCTCCATTTTTTGAGTTAATCGTTGAGTTTTTATTTATTGCAAATAATGTCATCATCGCAATATTAATCACTGTTATTGCTAGGGTTGGGCATCGTTTGATTTTGAACGATTCGGATTCCTCGTTTAGATTCCGGTTCCTATCGATTATCGATTCAGATTATTTCAAGACATACCATGTTTTAACTGAGCTAGCTAACCACAGGTCTTACTTGATGAAATAATCTTAACTTTAACATGAATTTTAATTTTATGAATAAAAATCACCTTCATTTAGACAAAAACATGTTTTGGAGAATAAAAGAAAAAGACTTGCAGCACAACCAGTGTGTTTGTTTCTGACCACAACCAAAGTATGGAAGAAGCCTCTGGGATGAGAGGCTAAATGTCTCCAACATGTCCAGAAACGTCCAGCTGTTCTACCTGCAGCAGCTGTTCAGTCAGAACAGAAAGTGAAACTTAAATGTACAGGGTATCTGCAGGTTTAAGGGAGCCAAATTTAAGACTTTTTAAGACCTTTTTAAGGCCACTTTGACCAAATTTAAGCTATTTTTTAAAATTAAATTTGAACTATAATTTCCAGCTATTGCCTGGAACTGGTGCTAACCACGTTGCGAAAGTGGGATTAGCCATCCAGTTACCATAGAAGTTGCACGTCCCCATGGTGCAATCTCCCACTAGCTTAAACAGCTAATGTGCTCATCTAAAAAAGCCCCCTTTCATAACCAACTGAATGTGTATGGTTCCGCTTACGCCAACATCGTACACAAAAAATGCTGAACACTAACTAGAAATTCATGAAAATTGAAATAAAATAATCTTGTTTATTGGGTCTTTGGTAATTTAAGACCTTTGGAAACTGTATTTAAGGATTATTAGTAATTTTTAAGGATTTTTAAGGCCTTAAATTTGGAAAGGCGAATTTAAGACTTTTTAAGGACCCGCGGATACCCTGATGTAGCTGCTGTCAGTAAAAATATAAGATTTCAAACATTAAAACTCTCAACAGAAAAAGGGTATATGCAGGAATCTCAAAACTTAAATTTAAGACTTTTTAAGACCTTGTAAAAATAAAATTAAGACTATTGCAAAGAACTAATCAACTGTTAAGGCTGATTCATGCTTCTCCGCAAGAGACAGACACTCACGGATTGACGGGAGACATTTGGCCCTCATGCTTCCGTCTCCTGGGAAGTGTTACAAAGCAATACCCCAGCAGGACAACTATGGAGCTAGGATTGGGACAATATTCAGCGTAACTTGTACCAAGTTTTGTAACTTCGAACATGTTTCATCACACGCAACTTTGGATTCGTAACTTGTAACTTTAGTTTTCTAACTTGTAATTCTCAATTTGTACTTGTATTTCTTGTTTTGTAACAGGAAATTTTCATTTTGTACATGCATTTTTTATTTTGTAAAATCAAACTTATTTTGTACATTTACTACTCATTTTGTAACGTCAAACATTCATCCAGAAACATGAAACTTTCATTTTGTAACTAGCAGACTTCCAAATTGAAAAAATCAAGGTACAAGTTTGAAATCAAAACTCTCAAAACACATTTCATTCTACAGGTACAAACCTCAAATCTACAGTGTTACGAATCTTTTTGTCTCGATTCTAGCGTCAGTGGGAGGAACTTGGGTGGAACCAATGAGAGCACGAGTCTTAGCTACCAATCACGTTTCTCGAATTCCTGTCCAATCATTGGGAGAGGAGGGCAGGGTTCTGTCAGAGCTGTAGAGAGTTATGTCACGGAATGCGGGAGTCACGTGCTTCATGTAGCTTCGAATAGTTCCAAACAGCCCCGCTGCTGCATTGACTGCAGTTCATTTTCGGTGTTTCGGAAGGATCTTCTCCGGTAAGTTGATGAAATGTCATCATTTTGTTGCATTGTGAAGCGTTAGCTAACCGCTTCGTACCAAAAAAAGCCAACGATATTTTATGTTGCCAGTTTTAGCTAGAGAACCTTTAATGAGCTAACTGTGTGCAGCTTGTTGGTTGTGAGCAGGACGAGCTGTAGACGGGTTTATTTCAGTTTGTTTGATTCTACGTTTTAAAAATATTCCTCACAGTTTGAAATAGGTTATAAACTTTTTACATTATTAGTTTTATTTGGGATTTTTTGTACAATACGTTGCTGGTTGCTGTATCAACACCAACATGCATCAGAAATGGAAACACAAATGGAGCAACCAATAATAAAGAAAATGTGATTGTGAAGACAAGTAATTATTTAATATTTAACAACTACTTTAATAACTCATTGAGAACAGACCCATACTCTGTTGCATGTTTTTCTTCTTCTTGATTTCAAATCTCTTATATGTAGGAAAGACGTGCCTAAAAGGTTTAGCCTGTATGCATCTGAAACAACAACCGCAGCACCTTGTCTGTCAGAACCTTCTTTAGGTTAGGATGGACCTGTCTAATTACTGGGAAAGCTGTTTTTGACCAACACTTGAACTCAACTCCACCCCCCAAAAGAACACAAGCCTTGGGAAACATCAGTTAAGGCTGAAACTGAAAGGAGACAAACCTGCTTAAGTTCTGGACAGAAAACTGACGCATCTGGAGGGGATTTAGATGATTTTCCGAACTTTAAGCTGCGAGATGTTGAAGCGACAGTAGTAGCGGCACTGTGATACCGGCTACCACAGCGTGTTTTTCTCTAGCTGTCTCTGTGACTGGTCAAATGACCCACTAACAAAGATGGTTTGTGAAGAGGATGAACACTCCTCATTTTTCTGAAACTGATTCTTATAAAGAGTGACTGAAACCCGACCAAAGACTCACCTTCCTTAAAACAAAAACTGATTCACGTGAACACATTTGGTTTAATAAACGGCTATTTTCGCTGAAAAGCGTTAAGTTTGCAAGTATAAGATTAACGTATTTTAAAATCACGTCAATACGAACCAAATTTAAGACCGGTCTTAATTTTCCTTCCACCAAATTCAAGACTTAAGACTTTTTAAGACCCCGCAGATAACCCCGAAAATAGTTCAGAAAGGGAATAAAAAAAGTTATTTTATATTATTATAATTATTTATTGTGGCAGAAGCTGGTTTGGTCCACCAGAGAGAAAGCAGCTCTAGCATGATGTCTTATTCTACAGGTTATTGTTCAGCCTTCTGACGCTCACACACGCACGCACGTGTTGGTGAGCGGCTGCGTCTGACTGCTGGCGTTCCGTGTGTTTTTCTTTCTGCCGTGAGACAAACTCACCTCACACCGTCCAGAGTTTGTTATTTAAAGCTTCTATTAAATCCACCGTGTTGACGTATTTTAGCACGTGTCCTCTACGCTGCAGGAGTTAAGTTTACATTATGGAGTAAAGGTTCGGCAGACGCATTTAACTGTATTTGGCCGCTGCGCGCAGGTGGGGGGAGGAGGGACTTGTGCTTCACACAAGACAGCTGGTGTGTTCAGCTCTGAAGAGCATTGATCACAATTTGCAGATCCCTATTATTTTTCGCGGAGATCGGCAGCGGATTCCTCTTCCGTCTGCATTCTTGGAAAAAAAAAAAACAAAAACGGAACGATTCCGGGAAAATCTAACAAACCGGTTCCAATCGAATTCCAACCCTAGTTATTGCCTATTTATCTTATTATCGTGCAGCCCTAGTACAATACTAGAAAATATTCCAGACAACCAACATAACGTACCTGTCACGGACACACTTTGCACACATGGATCCACCATAAGCCCTGCTGACATGCTTCTTGGTCTTGGAGAGCCTCATCAGAACCTGGGGTCTAACGGCACGAATCTGTAACACAAACCTTCATTTTAAAGAGCAGAACATGCTGGTGAAAGTTAACCATCATCTGGAAACTCCCAACATACCCATGTCCACCACAGTAGCTAGTAACTTGATATTGTTCTTCAACCCACATGCAGCCAGCGCAGCATTACAAAACTTCATTCACTAAATACTACTTCCTCCACAGAACCAGTAATAAAACAAGTACGAAATCATTTATATTACATATCAAACCACATGCACGGTTTACATATGCCGTTTTTACAAAACAATAACGGCAATTTGCCACGCCGTGGTAGCACCAGGGAGCCTTAGGTCGTTTATAAGTAGTCATACCGTGGTGGTAATGTGGCGCAATTGTGTCTTTTTTATAAAAGGCGATTGCGGCATTATAAGGGGGTATGGGGGCGGTCTCTGCGATGCAGCAGACTTCAGTTTATCTTGGACATAACTTGCTTTTTATTGCAATTGAAGCTGCTATCGTTGAGTTTTTTTCTTAACAAGCTGCTTCTAAAGGTGTTTATCTCTGTCTCTGATGATCTGAGCTGCAGCTCTAACGGACGCTCATGGAGTGCTGCAGCGCTCCAGTTTTCCGTCTCAGCTGATTTTGTTCAAAAAGCAAACCTTATTGCCCGTGTTTACTTTCATTTTTAATATATTTCCCGGTCAGAGCATTAACTCCCCACGTCATGACACCTCCCTCTGTTGTGCCATGGCGCAATAGCCGTTTATAAGTCAGACCATTACAGCAATATTACTAAGCGAGGCGGAACAGATTGCAGCAAAATCTGCACAACTCCATGCCTGCACGGCGAGTTCACAAGACACACTGTTGCGGTAATATTACGCCGATTTGCCGGCATGGTGCATCTTGTAAAAAGGACTAGTTTAAACATGACCACCACCACTTTGGTCCAAGTGTGGACTGTACTGGTGAAACCTACACAGTGCATGCAGCAGGCTGTGATTGTAGAAGTCAATATGGATATGTGCCAGAATAACAAGTCTTCGTGTGTGTGTGTGTATGTGTGTGTGACACACACACACACACGGAGGGTTAGGATAAAAAACACATTCAAAATATCACCTTAAATTAAAGCCTTTTGATGTTTATTATAATGGTCTTTAATTCAACAATGTTAATCTCACCAATTCTCTCAGAATGTCAAACAACTATTCACTAGCCTAGTTTAGCAACTGTAATTCCAATTGAATGTTGCTTAAAAAAATAGGAATATTTGAGTTTTAAGAGAGCAACAAGTTTGTAAGACTCATGCTGCTTCAGTTACATTAAAAATATGTCAACATTTAGCTTATCTGGTTTGAACAGCATCGAACTTGACTTATCCACCAACATATCTACTATTGAACTGAATGTCGACTGCAAAAATAACTTTCACTAACATCCATACAGAGAAAAGGTTTAAAATGACCCAGAACTCAATCTCCGAAGTGCATCAGACCACAACATGCTATTAATGTTTACTTACACCACGCAGTCTACCGGGGCAGATGCCACATGCTGACTTGGGGGCTTTGCCAACCTTCTTGGTGTACAGGTACACAATTCGGTTGCCAGGTGTCCGTGATCTGCAGACCGACAATCACAACACGTTGTTGTTAACCCAAGTACGAGTTTACCGGATAAAACCAACAACGAACTGACTTACAGTCTGGTTTTATTAGAGGCGGTGTTGTAGGACAACCTACGGCGATAAGTCAGGCGCTGCACCATCCTGGAGCTGGAAGACAAGGTTTAGCTAAATGAGAAGGGATGCTAGCATGCTATCTTTAGCTAAACATGTTCATTCACGAATTAGAAAATATTAATTTTATGAATGTTACTGTTACTTTCTATAAAAATTTTATCCGTAGCGAAAACATTTACGCATGAGATTCATGACTTTGCCGGTGGGACATTACGAGCGGCCTTATACCGACACAAATGAGACAACTAAAGATCTTTACCCTAAAGTCAATTATTTCTAAAATGACCACATCATCATAAACAAATACGTTTTATGTGTAAAATGTTGTTTTAAAAATGTTTACATTTGGTGTAAAAGCAAAGGATTACAGCGGATTACTAATTCGTTGTCACGCAGAGGAAAACAGGAGACGCCATACCTGTTTTCGCCGTAACCGGAAGAGAAAGAAGTGGGCGGAAGTTAGACTTTAGTATTGTTCCTGTTACTCTGCCCCCTGCTGGTGAACTCACTGGTTGCACCTATCGAGCACATAAGCACAAACTATCGGAACAAATTCCCGACGTCTACGAATTTGTTGGGAAACTTTTTTTTGGGAATAATTCCATTTATACAATTTATTAACACATTTTTTGCTTATGTATTTTATTTATGTAAGTAATTGTAATAGAATAGAATAGAATTGAATAGAATAGAATTTATTGATCCCACAGTGGAGAAATACCCCCGCTACGGCAGCACATACACTTAGAATAGGAAAAAGAATAATACAGGTAAATATACAAAGGCAGTAGGCTATTATTGTAACCTTCAGGAATAAAAAAAATGATAATAATAGAAAACTGAGTTTCAGCATAAAAAACAGAAGTGCATCATGGTAGTTCACACTTATTGAATATTTAATTGATGTTTTTGTGTAACAGGACAATTCCAGTACCAGTTAAACTGAGGAGTTATACTCTTGTACAGCAGAGGGGATGTTTTAGGGGTGTCTCAGTCTGCCTCTGAAGGATCTGTCCATGGTCTCCACAGTAAATTACAGTAGGTGGGAGAGGTTTTCCAAGATGGAGCTCATCTTCCCCAGCATCCTCCCTTCACACATCTTCTCAAATGAATTTAGTTGGCAGCTCAGAATCAAGCTAGCATTTTAACTAGCTTGTTTATGTAATATTTTATTAAACCGTTACTTAACCAGATGAGTCATTTGAGAACTAATTCTCATTTACAACGATCTGGTCAAAAGACAGCAGCAACAGACATAATTAGCATAAAAGAGCCAACAACATAGTGATAAAAGGATTTTAGCAGCTGGGAATCAACTCAGAAGGACCCCAGCCTCCTCAGGAGGTGGAGGCAGCTTTGGCCCCTCTCATAAAGAGCATCTGTAAAGGTTTCCACCACCATCATGGATGTTTACCGGTGAGTGAAGAGGAGTGTTTCTCTGGAAATCAATCACCATTCCTTTGTCTTGCTAGAGTAGTGAAGGTGGTTACGCTCACGCCTGTTCACAGGATGTCATTCTCACTGGCACTTTCATGATCAGCATTACTTTTTCCACATTTTGTTTTTTTAACAGCTTTATTCAAAAATTAATTAATTTCTCCATTTAAGGTTACAAGCAACATCCAATTAGGAAAAAGCTAAGAAACAATGTACTAATAAAGAAAAAATAAGTATCACAAGACACAGGATCAGTTTACAGAGGCTCGAAAAGTGATTTAAGAATTGCTTTTATTGTTCCTACAAACTTCTGCTAGCTTCTTGAAGGGTCACGTGGGAATGTCTCAACAGGGGAGTAAACTGTAAGCACACACACACACACACACACACACACACACACACACACACACACACACACACACACACACACACACACACACACACACACACACACACACACACACAGAGAGAGAGAGAGAGACTGACAGGATTATTATGCTACACTGTAAGCGCAGATATTGTATTTGTGGAGGACCCCTCTGACCTCTTTACCTTATATGTAGCGCTTTGGTTGTCTCTTGTTAGCACAAATAACTAATTTCATGGCAGCAACTGAATGCATTTGGGCATCTGGACATAATGAACTTTAGTCATGACTTCAGTTCAAACTGAGGATCAAAATAGAGAAGAAAGTGGGTTTACAGGACTTTGAAGGTGGAATGGTTGTTGGTACCACGTGGGCTGATGAGTGCTGGAATTTGGTCCACAACCTTCTCTAGAGTAGATAATAGCTTATAAAACACATATTTAGTTATCAGTAGAAATGTAAATGATAATGTCTGGTCAGAGGATAATGGTCAGGTTCTAGATGATAGAAATACAACAGCAGCTGAAATAACCACTGGTTCCTACCAAGGTCTGCTGAACAGCATCTCTGATCAGCTCCTGCAGATGGACTCCAGCAGCAGAAGACTTCAGGTGCCCCCCTGTCAGCTAAGAACAGGAATCTGAGAGGCTATAATTCACTCAGGACCAGCAGAACAGGAATGGAAGTTATTGCGCAAAGTGTCCGGTAGATAGCAGTAGATCACAAACAGATGCTGTTGAAAAGGTTCAGATCGTTCCGATGTAACAGCAGAACAAACCTCGGTTAATAAGGACTTTGTTCATTTATAGCATTGCTGCAAATGCACCTGGGTTAGCTAAAAGGCTGTTTGTAATCTGGAGTCCCTGAACAAGAAGATAAAATAATACACTTATAACAACAGGGTAGGTGGGTGGGTGTGGGTGGGGGGGTGGGGGGGGACACCAGCCGTAAATAATTATGTAATGAGATTATGTCAGCCATCTTTTGAGACAAGGTTGCATCTTAAATTGACATCAACGAGATAAAACAAGGAGTTTAGCTCTGTAAATTGCAATATTTAACTATTAGGATGGAATGAATCAAACTAAAGTGAGTAAAGAAGGGACAATTGTAACAAGAAACAGACAGAATTTCTCTAATCTCATGATTTTTATTTGTCCCAGGTAATCTGTGTTTTTTGATCTTTTCTGCTCATTATGGGACCTTTGCTAATTTCTTCTTACTTTCACAGTTTCTGACCAACACATTCATCAGCATGAAAACTACACAAGTAAACAATACATTATGGCCACATTCAGCCTGGGACATTAGTAAATAATTAAAGACTTGTCAAACAGTGTTCCTGTTTGGTTTAGGTTCAGGAAAACAAAGCAAAGGTTTAAGAATCCCATTTGATTCCAGTCAGGTGATTAAAGTGTTTTATTTCATTACTTCGTGTCCATACATTTACTTTTAGCACCAAGTTTTGCCAAGTACTAACAAAAGAGATGTCAGAGAAGAAAAACCATAAGACTAATATATATATATATATATATATATATATATATATATATATATATATATATATATGTAGAGAGAGAGAGAGAGAGAGAGAGAGAGAGAGAGAGAGAGAGAGAGATTTATGAAGTCTGAAATTGATAAAACTTAAACTCAGTAAAAATGCCTGACTTTATAAATTATATTTAAACATAAAACTCTTTATTTCTAAGCAATTCATAACATTTTGAATCAACAAAGACGAACTTTAATCTGAAAGTCAGTTAAACAAGTGTGATGCACTGTTTCCACCCAAAGATCGAGCGTTTATATCATGTGTTGACTTTCATCTTCATGTCTTGATCCGTTTGTTTGTTTTGTTTTGTTGTTGCACTCTTTCATCTCTCTCTATTATCTCACTGTTTCCGTTTCCTTCAGCAGATAGCTTGAGATTGTGGAGAGATGAAACAAAAATGAAAATCAGTCAAGCTGTTTAATCCTCTTCATGAAGCAGCTGTAGAAAGTGTTAGGAGTTGGTCTGACTGGAGATCTTACCTTTCGTTTACAGTTTTCTGTTACTACGCTCTGAGTTGTGTGCTTCTTCAAGCCTAAAGCTTCCTCCAGCTCTGCAGACATGAGAACACAACAGAAAACTCAGAGCTCTTTTATATTCCAGCTCACACGTGCAAAGACTCAACCAATGTATTGAGCAAAAACAAGCCTGAATTGAAGAGTTGTGCATCTATCTCATGACCCAACAGTATATAGGACCTCCTTTACATTTCTTTCTTCTCCACTATCCTGCTGCTGTGTTTGGGATCATTTCCTGTTGAATGACCCAGTTTGGTAGCCTAGAAATCCAGACCAACCGTTGTAGTAGCAAAAGATTTAGCTCTGTACGTCGGTCTATCCAGGCTCTGTTGTAGCCTCAGCAGGTCTACCTTTGTCTAAGTTTAGGCCGGGCCAATCACAGCGCTCTGTTTGAAGAAAGACGTTTGGCGACCGTATCCCAATTACAAGGTTCTTCTTTGCGGTGGAGACAGAGCTGCAATGGACCAAAACAACAAAGATGGAGGCAGCTCAGGAACAGCGCTAGTTTGAAATGGCTTTGCCATCAACTTTGGATGATTCAGACTTGGGCGTTTCTTTGAGACATTAGATGATAGAGACATGAGATGCTTCTTTTTCTACTTTTACGAAGGTGTATGGCAGACTGCCACATTGACTGATTTCCATAGCGATGAGTATGTCATGTTTTTCGTTGCTCTGATTGGTCCTAGCATTGTCCAATAGTATGTGGAGACAACCATATATTCCACCTCACGACTGAGCTCTGTCCATGTGTCAGAGCCAAACAAAATATTTACACATGTAGGATGGCTTGCTAGGCTAGCAGTTTGGTCCAAACTTCAGCCTTCAGCCAGATTCACTGGCATTTGACTCTAGACTAGTTCGGCCAGAGGAGATAATTGTTAGCTCAGTGACCGAAAGATGCCCATATCATTACTCTTCCACTGCCGTACTGCGGTGTTGAGTGTTGATTTTCTGGGTTTGTTATTTGCCTAACATGGTAGTTTGCATTGTTGGTAGACATTTCTACTCTGGTCTCATCTGGTCAGGCCACGGATCTATGTTCTAAAAAAAAAACTGGCATATTTAAGTCAAGCTGTTTTCTAGTGAGAAGAGATTGTTTTACTAGCTTTAACCTTTAAGATGCTAACTGTTGCTTGTAGGGTTTAAAACAGGGTTTTAATGGGTTTTTTTTTAGCATTCAATCCTCCTAAAAATTAAGTTAACTGAGAAACCATTCTTTCTTGCTAATTTTGAATTATGACTGGTCACTGTGAGTTTCACATGCAGGCTGGATACGAAAATAGCCTTCTACTCCTTTGAACATCTTAGGTGTGTTCTTGCTGTGTCGTATTTCTAACTCCATGCTGTAGTTCTTTCTTAAAACACAGAACAGTTTTGTAGTCTGCAGCCGCAGACGAAACGTAGCGGGAAAACAGGTAACAAAACGGTTCTGTGTTTTAAGAAAGAACTACAGCATGGAGCCTTCTACTCCTACTTCCTGCATTAGCCACCAAAAGAAAGTAGACGTAAATGGGCGAGTAAGAAAAAGCCGCACAGATCTACGTCACACTGTGCATTAGCATTCATTGATTCACACATCTTGACTCGCAACCACAGAAGGCTGTGTAGATTTTTGTATCCAGGAGAGAGCAGAGCGCATCTCGACTAGTAGAAGCTAACTGTTAGCATTAGCAATAACACCACACAGCAGAACTCTTCCAGGCTTGCGTTATTTGTGGATGTAAAACATTAATGTTTCAGAGCAAACTGAGTCAGTGGTAGGGTTGTGTTGCTTAGCCAGTCAGAGGTGAGATGTCCGGATATCACGAATAATAATGAGTAAGACTCCAAATTCTGATGCTTTCTGCCCCCTCCCCCATAGATATGTATATAAACACTAGATGACTCATCTCTGCTATTCGCCAATGGGATGCAACGTAGCAACGTGGCGGACATCTTACCTCAGACAGCCGCCCCCTTTCTTGACATTGGGGTGTATGGTGCATGTACTATTTAAATAACTCTAACTTGCTCAATTTTCAACTGATTTTCAAAAGGTTTGATTTGTTATAAACACCAGAGATGTGTCTATGAAATAGGATGGGTTTTGCCCAGAAATTCCTGTTATTTCACTCCACAAAGCATTTAATCTTTCATAGATAACACATTTAATTGTAAGCTACAGTAAGTTAAAGTATAAATAGCCTATTATCATGTTATATCTATCTATCTATCTATCTATCTATCTATCTATCTATCTATCTATCTATCTATCTATCTATCTATCTATCTATCTATCTATATATATATATATATATATATATATATGTGCACCCCAACAAATAAGACAACCAACTTCCAAATCTCATCTGTCAGCCAGAACCAGACCACCAGCAAAAAAAATTCACCCAGCAAATTATTTTGTATTTTCAGTATTTCTTAATTTTTGTTTTCTTATTTATTGACTTTCTTTTATTAATTATAAGCTCTTTGGAAATGCTTTCCAAAAAAATTAGGAAATAATCAAAAGATAGATTAGGTTAATAAATAAGATGGATTGCAGTAATAAATAAGATGGATGGATAATGGATTGATATTGTGAAGGAGATTTTTAACAGTCATAAAACCAGATAAACAATGTATAGAAGGAGGTCGCAGCAGCTATGGAACAGCAGTTTCAAATTATTTCATTGACATAAAAACAATTAACAGACTGAATAATGTACAAGTATAGGTTTTCTTTGCAACAGTTACAGATGAAAGGTGATCCCACATTGTCTCAGTTTGTCACAGCGGCGATTCGAGCATCCGTAGGCTGTACAAAGTCAGCCATGTTGACCCTCAAGCTTCACAATTACTAAAGGTGTATTTCTGCAAACATAAATCCAGAAATGTCCTGTTTTAATATATCTCAGTATAAGTTTTGTGTAACAAACCAAGTCGCTTAAAAATCACGGGCAATTTAGCATTCATTTAATAAAACGAGCGACTGTCACTGAGGTAAATAATCAACTTTGTTTTGCTAAGTAGTGCACACACCGTAGCCTCGTCATCTCTAAGCCAAGTTAGACACCTAATAAATACAAAAACACCCACAAACACAGCCATTTACACAACTGCCGTAAAGTCGTTATTGGTTAGAACCACATAAAATATCAATTGTGGTCTCAACCTGAATAACATGCAGATAGCCTAGGCGGGACATATGGTTCACAATGAAGCCACTTTCAAAAGCAAAAGCGTTACTTTCAACATAAGCAAGTATGTTGTCTCAAGCCCATGTGTTCTAAGGTTTGTAACAAGGCAAACCGCTTGTTAATCCGTTAATATTTCACTGAGTTAAGAGTGTTTTTGTTTAAGCTGATCACTCACCTTCCAGCTGCTACCACTGAGAGCGGAGGGGTCTGTTGTCTGAGGTAAGGTGGCCGCCATTTAGCTACGCCGTCAACTCCCACTTTCACCATCTAGTGTTTATATACATACATATCTATGCACTCCCCTCTGACTAACATCTACTTCCTGAAACAGGCCAGAGCTGTTTCTCTACAGGGAATGACTCACAAGGCATTCATTTAGACAAGAGACTACTGCAAATTAGGGCTGTCGCGATTGAGGAATTCCCCCTGCGGTGAGTCAGGGCAGCTCAATATTGCGATATGCGATATTATTGCACCTCGTTTTTATTTATGTACTTAGCAAATTTGTTTGTTAATTACTAAACTCATGGCAATATTTCCTTGAAACATTGTGCTTACACATTTAAAAAATGTTAGAAAAAAATACATAGCCATTTTTAACACTTAATTGAATGCAGATCAAAGGGCAGTAACGGCATTCTCTGACTGAACTTAAAAACAACATTCAGGAGGTTTAACTTTGAAATGCAAATTTGGCTGCAACATCTAACAGAAAGAAAAAAAAGTGCCCTACTATCTCCTCGATCAGCGCGGACTTTACCTCTCAGCGTGCGCTGTCGCGAGATTTAATCAAGTGCGGTAATTGCGGTGGCACGTCATGCAGCGCGGTGGGTTTCTTAATATTGCGATATATTGTTCTTGCGATTATTGTGACAGCCCTACTGCAAATGTTTAGAAAAAAGAGTGAATGAGAGCGTAAACCTTGGGGTGAATTTGATTAGATTTTAAGGTTTTTTTTTTTTATCTGTGAATAATCATTTTCTCTGTAAAATCGTGGACTTGATCATTTAAAAAATGACCTGACTGACTGGATGCAACAATTTCTCTAATCTAAGACTGATGCCTTTGGCATTGTGTTAACACACACCTGTATGTTCCAGACTACACTTGAGATTATATCTTAAGTGTTTTGGAACGTGTTAAAGATCAGATCATTTTTATCACGTCCTGATATGTAAAACAATAAAATAAAAGAGGATTATTAATATCTTTATCAAGAGACGGTTTAAGGATACCTGTAAGAATGAGGTCTAGTTTCTCCACCACCAGGTCAACATCCTCAGTAGTGAAGCAGAGTGGAGGCTTGAATTTCAGCACGTTGCGATGAGGTCCGTCAGCACTAAGAAGGATGTGCTGCTCCTTCAGCCTGGGACAAATATCTCTATTTAGAACAGCAGTTTCACAAATTTTACAGATTCTGACTCAAAAGTCACAGAGACTCATACCCTGGTTAAAACATACAAACATTACCCAGGAGCTTCATCAACTGTTCTATTATTTATTGTCCTATAAGAAAGGAAACTTCTAAACCACTTAAAAGAGTTCTGAATAAATATTCTATCGGGTGATTTCTATGTGGAATTAAAAGTTCTACTTTACAATAACCGGGCCTTTCGCGTAGCTCTGGTTAAGTAAATCAGTGTTTCCCAACCCTGGTCCTCAGAGACCACTGTCCTACATGTTTTTCTTGTCTCTGCTTCAGCACACCTGATTTAGATTGGCTCCGCAGGAGGACATCAAGTGCTGCAGATGCCTGTTAATCACTCTTTCATTTAAGTCAGGTGTGTGGCAGCAGGCAAACAGTGGTGTTTGAAAGGGCAACATAGAAAACATGCAGGGCAGTGTGCTTTGAGGACCAATTGGGAAATACTGGAGTGAGCTACGCGCATCGTAAAAAAAACGTGTTTTGCCCGCGCGCTTCCTTCCCACCTGAGCATTTTAGATGTTAAACAGAAGCGAAAGCGTTCCACGCAGCTGGTCCCGTGAGATCACACAATCACAGGAGGATTGCCAGACCGCATTTGGCTCTTCACAGATGTTACACAACATGTTGAAATCTTTTCAGTCTATTTGTTTTTTTTGACGTGCCGTGTGATTTTTATCTTGAGAGGCGCTATACAAAAGATTGTTTTCTTTCTTAATTTCTCTATGTACACGTCTGGGGGAACGGCCCAGAAAGCGTAGCGTGATGCCAGTGAAGCATACGCAGTAATTAGCTGCTGGTAAAGGGGATGGGTGTGTTTTTACCGGCTGTGAAGCCTTGCATTTTGGACGTGTCCCAGAAGGGCTTTGAGTCTACTTTTTACACGCTACACTTCAAGAATGCATCAAGCTCAATGTTTCAGATCGGGCCAGACAGGAAGTCAAACACAAAAGCAATGGAAAACGTCTGGAAAATTTCAAAATAAAAGTCAGGTGCAGGTTTCCAGTAGCTTAAATAGTAAAAGTACATCATTACTCGTGAAACCATAGCTGAGGTCAACAGAACCGAAAATAAACCAGACCTTTTTGGATTCATGCTGCCATCTTTCTCCTCGCCAGTTATCACATGAACTGCCAAAACCACACAGGGGCTTGCAATTCTCTGGTCATTTTGTGACCTCACTGGACCTGCTGCGTGGAACGCTTAGGCGAGTCACTTTGATCTCATTTTCACCCTAAATTAATGCTGCTTATTAATGATTTGTAAAGTGTTACAGAATAATTGATAACATATCCATAAAGGGGGACCTTTTTTAAAGTGATGCCAAACTTACTTATAAATGACTTCCTGTGCTTCTGCTGTAGCTGGAGTCAGCTTTGCCCGGTCCCTCACGAGTTCCACTCCAACAAAAAGACCACGACCTCTGTAGAGAGTGCCAAAAATAATAAAATAAATATATATAGAAAAAGAACATAAATGTACAGCATCTCTTGTTCTGGTTGGTGTAAGATTTGTATTAGATGATATTCCTCCTAATAGAAGCTGTCCTTTTATGCCAATACTTGCACTAAATGTCACTGAAAACTGATTTTTTACTATTTTTTTAAGTTAGTGTTTGCTCACCGGATGTCTCCAATCAGCAGATGCTTCTCCTTTTGCTTTTCCAGCCGGTTGGTCAGGTATTGGCCCACCTGCAGCGCGTTACCCTGCAGATTCTCTTTCTCAATTACATCCAGGACAGCCAGGCCAATGGCACATGACACGGGGTTACCACCAAACTGAGATATTCATATTGAAACACAGAGAAAATACAGAAAAGAGATGTTATCATTTCTACCACACGGAGAACTTGTTTGACACCCATGAAAGTCATCGTTTATTGTGTATTTCTCTTACGGTATTGAAGTACTCCATTCCAGATGACATGAAGGCCTCGGCCACCTCTCTGGTCGTCACCACACAAGACAACGGGTGTCCGTTGCCGATTGGCTTCCCCATGGTGATGATGTCAGGCACAAAGTCCTGTCCCTGGAGCTGAAAGGCCCAGAAATCGGAGCCAATGCGACCAAAGCCCACTTGAACTTCATCAGCAATGAAAATACCTCCGGCTTTACGAACCAGTCTGTAGATCAGAAAACGAACAGACTCATGAATTCACTAAATCATCTGTAAAAGAGACATATAAAGCATTTTGCTTTCTTTCTAACTGAGAAAACAGCCAAGGCTGCCCTTTGTTACCGACTCTGTTCACATTTTTTATGGACAAGATTTCTAGGCGCAGTCAAGGTGTTGAGGGGATCTGTTTTGGTGGTCTAAGGATTGAGTCTCTGCTTTTTGCAGATGATGTGTTCCTGTTGGCTTCATCCGAACATGATCTCTGGCTTTCGCTGGAGCGGCTGGAGTGTGAAGCAGCTGGGCTGAGAATCAGCTCCTTGGAGTCGGAAAAGGGTAGAAAGCCTTCTCCAGGTCAGGGACGAGGTCCTGCCTCAAGTGGAGGAGTTTAAGTATCTCGGGGTCTTGTTCACAAGTGAGGGAAAGATGGAGGACGAGAACGATAGGTAGATAGGTGCTGCGTCTGTAGTGATGCAGGCGTTGTACCGGTCTGTCGTGGTGGAGAGAGAGCTGAGCCAAAAGATCTTGATTTACCGGTCGATCTACGTTCCTACCCTCACCTATGGTCACAAGCTTTGGGTAGTGACCGAAAGAACCAGATCGTGGAAATGAAATCGGGTTAGTACGTACTCAGCCACTTGCTGGAAGTAACCCACAGGAGGAATGACCTGCCCACCACAACTCTGCAATGACTCAGCAATAAAAGCCGCAATCTGCACATAAAAGAAAACACTTAGGAGCTTAGTAATGCATTAGTTAATATTATCATTACTATTAAGCAGCTGGTAATACTTGATTTAATAATTTATTTATGCTAAATAATGCACATGTTACATTAATTAGGGACCATTATTATAAAGTGTTACCAAAATTTGAAATGTTTTACAACCAAGTCTTTACTTTATGTTAACATTGACATATCAGTATTGTCATTCCTGTCAGGTTTATAATGTATAGTGTAACACATTTTAGAGGAATAATATCACAGATATCAGACACAAACTGTACCTTGCGTCCTTTCTTATGAACGTTGTTGATTATCTTCTTGACTTCATCTGCATATGCTGTGGCTGGATCAGGGTGGCCTGCTCGGTATTTACCTCTGTACACATCTGGACTAGGAGCCTGTACGTAAGACAATATATCTATATAAGACTTCAGTCTTCTGTTTGGTGTGAATATTAATTGTACAAATATGTATGGTGCTCCTCAGGGCTCTACATTTAGTCACAAGCTTTTCAGTTTGTACTCTCATATTACTCTTTAAATAACATGTTGGATGTATGCAGATGACACAACTTTATGAAAAAGAATAGACTAAACTTTGCAAAAATGTAAAAATGGAGATCAAACATTTATACTTGCAGGTTGCCTATTAGTATGGGGTTATATGTATTTAGATATAATAAAATATTTTAATGATTAAACTCAATATGTAGAGCTTTTGACACTGATTATTTACTGAGGTCATGATTTTCCCAGAATGAATCTGTGGTTGACTAGCAACCAGACCAGAGTGTCCCCCTCCTCTCACCCAATCACCGCTGGATAGGGACCAGCTCGCTGCGACCCTTACTGGAAGAAGGGGTTATAGAAGATGAACACAAACAGCTAAAGACAAACAGGATTATCTATGGTAAAATCAACAGAAACACTAACTCAAAAACCATCAAAGACAAGATAAACACTAAAACTTGCGTCAACGCCGCAAGAAAAAAAAAACAACAACAATATTGTAGTAATTAGTCAAAACAATTAAATTTGGACGCACTTGACTTCTACATAAAAGTTTTTGCTGAATAACAGTAAAAAATAAAGACAAAATGTCCTTCGTAGAGCTGTTAATACAAGGAATTTTAAATGTATAGTATACAAAGAACTAAGGAACATTAAGTGATTTGCTGAGTAAAGCTGTTGTATTTAATCCTGTTTCTCTCTCTCATGTATGCTGAACACTCAGCAGCCTGCCACAAGGCTGCAGAGTAGGCTGAGTTATGGTGTTTTAATAGTGTGAAGCTAGTCCAGACAGTGAGGGGAAACAAAACACTCACCACATGGACAAACTGACTCTGCTCTGCATCCGACAGCTGGTGAAACTTATATGGACTAATGTCAATTAGCGATGACACGTGGCCATGATACGCACTGCAAAATCCACACAATGGAAGAAGACTCAGCTGATTCCACTACATGTATTAATTTAAAGTGTTCTTGTACATAGATGCTCAATGTCAATATCATAGAGCAGTTCTTACTTCTCCAACGTGATGATATCTTTGTTGCCTGTGTACTGCCGTGCTAGTCGAAGGGCCAGGTCATTGGCTTCAGAGCTGAAAGGGCAAGGGTTAAATAAAGTTACTCAGTCACCACAAAACACACAGGTAAATGTCACTCGAACGTCACTTACAGTTTGGTGTTTTATTCCCTAATGTAGGGGCAGGAGAGGCTGATACTTAGTTGTGGTTAAAGGTAATGAGTCAAGGCTTAGGTTTAGCAGTATCTACAGTGCTATACACATTGTGTTTTGCTAGAATGCTTTATTTTGTCTTGCCTTACAAACAATGCCCACTTATACCCCTTATGAAGGTTCAAATCACTTTTTGAAATGACAGTTTATGTAAAGTTGTCTAAATGACAACAAACCCAAAGGTAGTGATGAACATCATGGAGTAACCTTCAGTAATATTTTCCATTTAGTTTTATTTACAAGCATAAATTCATACTTCCATAGCAGCTCTTCTCTCCTTTTATAGCAGCTCTGTCTGCTCATGTTTTCACTGGCCATGTATACAAACCTATTCTCTCCCACCCATCTAGAAACAAACTTTGGTCCACACCACCTTGTTTTCATCAAAAAATTAAAACTGAGTGCATTGTGGCACACATTCATAGGCATGCCAAGCCTGTAGGTGGCAGTAGTTCCCCAAATCTTTGGCATCTTTGCTGAAAAATGTTCCTTGGAATAGTTAGCTGGTGGGCAATAACTGTTCTTCGCCTGTGGTCTTTAAGAGCAGGTAATGAGCGCCAAAAACTAGTGATTGTGAATACAGATCACACGTGACATCAGAGCATTTTTGTCGCAGGCAGGGACAATACGAAACCTACAAGCAAATGCCGACAATGAAAAAATCATGAATCTCCAACTTGTCAGTTTTTGAAATAATTGTTTTTTGGTGGCTTATAGCTTAACTTTTGTATGAACGACAGGCCAAACATCACCCCGAATCCTCACTGGGGGAAACAGCGGCGTGGAACGGGAGCTGGACGGTGTACCCACGTGCTTCACTGAGCATCAATCCACACCGCGGATGTCTCAGCTACAGAGCGACTTCTCTGCCCTCCTCGCTGGACTTGCAAGATCACAAAATCCCTCAGAACAAAGGTCACGGTTTGTTCATCTCATCCGCTATTAAACCAAAATGAAGAATAAGAAATCACGTTTGATATATAATAATGTGCCTCTCCACTGCCAGGATTAAAGCCATGAAAAACACATCGGTGCTCTTCTAGAAAGATGCTGGGAGTAAATAAGCTGTTAGGTCACATGTACTGACACGATCCACATAGATATGAAATATTGTTGCTGCAACAGTCTTTTATTTAGAAAATTACTGGATGTTATCCACTGAAACAGTGTGTGATTTCCTTTTTAGCCCTTTGTTAACTGTGGAAATTGACGTGTCCCAGAAGCTGCTGTTTTACACCTGGTTTGGACCAACCTTATTGGCTATAATGAATTCTGTTTAACGAAGCAACGTTCCGCTGCCATTCCGCACCACTGATGCCTCCAGTGTGGATCCTTGTCTTGTGGGTTATGTGTGCACATGGCCTCAGATTCAATGATTGGTTGTTTCTGTCTGTGCATGTTTTAAACAGCCGTTTTTAATCAACCATTTTCCCCAAATATTTATTTTCATCATAATGTTTATAGATCTAAACATTATGATGAAAGTAATTTCTGACTCATAATTTATACTTGACGTTTTTTCCTATACAGCTGAACCCTGCCACTCACTGAGATAAACCAGTAACTGTAATCCCCTGAAACTCATTAAGTAATCATGATAAATAATTGTAATCACACATGTTTTTTACACCATCAAGCATCTCTAAAGAAACTCTTGATGAATAAATCAGTACAGAAATGTACCAGATTCACATTAATGCAGACGACTACATTTTAAACATGATTGTACATCTTGTTAAAGACATGTAAATACAGTATGTTCAGCATTGAAATGTCAACAATTCCTATTTCCTGTCAGCTTTATGACTTCTCCCTGCACTGATATGTGGTGCTGAGTTCACGGATCATTATCTACAATGCAATTTGTTCAAGTAATTCTCTCCGTTCATGCAGCGGTACTGTAGATGTAAATCAGTAACCATGCTGGGCCAGAGCCCATTGATAAACACCTCTTTTAGGAAACCACTAATGCTGAATCTGCATCATATTTTTTTATCTGTTTGCAAGGCTGCACACTCGCCATGAAGGCAGGTTTTATCATGTGTCTTAAAGTGCAGTAGAACTAATTAAAACAGCACCACAATTCAAAGAAAAGTAGGAAAGCAAGTCTGGCAGGTTTAAAATGTGCCGGGTGAAGAATGTGAACTGTCTAAATGTACCCAGAGTTGACAAAGTAGCACACAGAAAGCTTGTCCGGCAGCGTCGCCTGCAGCCTCTGTGCATAGAGTACGAGGTTGTCATGTAAGAAGCGTGTGTTGGTGTTGAGCATTTCCATCTGCTGAGCTCCAGCTGTCACCACATCTGGGTGGCAGTGGCCCACTGAGAAGCACAAGAAAGGATGGATTACAGATTAGGAGATCCCTACATAATTTCCCTCCATACAAACAGGCAGTAAAAGTAGATAATTGAGGGTTGATATAAAGAAACACCAAATTAAGGAAGAGTTTAACGTTTTTGATCCAGAACAGATGTTTTTTTTTCTTTTTGGGAGTATGGAGGTAATTTCTTCAGCTGAATGTGTTTGTCAGTGTTCGCAAGCCTACCGTGAGCCACGTTGTTGATGCAGTCCAAGTACTGCTGTCCGTTTTCATCATACATATACTGGCCTTTGGCTCGCACTATCTTGATTGGGTCATGGCTGAAAAAAATCTTGCAAGATGGCCTGCAGAGGAACAAAATAATAACATTAATCAGCTTTTTTAAATTTTACAATACATACATATTATATAAAGAAATATTGATAATAATCTGTGCTACAACCAACTAAATGCTTACTGCTGCAATCCACTAGTATACATAGCTGGATTTAACAATATCAAATCCTTCAAAGTTAATAAGCTTAAATACAACAGACAATCTCAGAGAATAACAGACTTTTTCTTCTGTAAAATAAAAGTTGACAACCTGCTGTAAATCCTGATCACCATATCAGAGTGGGTTTCTCTTACCCTATGTGCTTCTTCCTGAGGTCTATGGTCTTCTTCTTCTCTAATTCTTGAACAGACATGTTGATGTAGTACAGCTGGAAAAGTTCTCCAGTCACATCTGTTCCTCCCGGCTTTATACACGTGTGAGCGCAAGGGCGCGTCATGAGGGCCGTCTCTTGCCTAGCTCTAAGCTGCCTGTATGGAATTCAAATTGGGTCAAAACATTTTAAAAAGTGTTTGTGTGTAAATAACTTTTATTCTTCTAATTCTCATTAAATGTGTTCAATAAGCTTAGAGGTACACTATGTAAGTCCTTTACAGTAAAATAATCACAAAAACCATCTAATGTCTTACGCCGGGGACACACCGGCCGCGGAAGCGCCGAGAAGCGCCGAGAAGCGAATCGCTCACGAAATTCGGCCGCTGATTGCCGCTCCTCAGTTCAGATCAGACGCGCCCCAGTCGAGGCGTGCCTCGGCTCAGCTGTAGTTTTTCTTTTAAACACTTGGTGTCCTCCATTTCCTCTCTGCCTTTTCTCAGCTCTTTTCCTCTACGTTTGAGTGTTTGTACGTGTGTGTGTGCGTGCATGCGTGTGTGTGTGTGTGTGTGTGTGTGTGTGTGTGTGTGTGAACCTATAGTATGAGCGCAACTTGTCTGCAGCTCACCGCGGTGCTCCCCCAGGGGACGGGTCAAATGCGGAGAATAAATTTCGCACACACACCTGTGTGTGTGACAACTAATGGGACTTTAACTTAACTTTTATGAGTTGTTTCTGCCAGTTGAATCTCTTGGAACCCGCTCCAATTTTGCAGCTGTATCCTAGCAGTTTCTTCCGACATGGGTACGTAAATAACCATGTTTTTCGGGGGTCGTACAGCTCCTTGTGTTTCTCAACTTCCAAATTTAATTTAAAGTCATCCATCTTAACTGCTTGCCTCAGACTTTCTGCCTCTCTGTCCTGTTTGCTCCAGTGAAAAGACACCCAAAACCACACCCCCTTCACGTGGTCACACACGCACACAAGTTCGATGTGTGAGTATGTGTGTGTATGTGTGTATGTGTGTGTGTGTTCGTGTGGTTTTTCTGCAGTGTCTGATTACGAACACATCTGACTATTGCGGAATTTTTATTTTGAAATGCTTTATTTTGTTAAATTTACCGGCCTGCCTCTTATGTCTAGGTTTGACTTCCTGCCAGAATTGACGCGGTTCACCCGCAGCTCGCGAAAAAAATAGAGCCGACGCAGAAATGATCGCTGCACGGCGTGGGCTGGAGCGCCGGCGCGCGCGAGGCGATTCGCGGCGCTTCGGCGGCCCATGTGGTCTATAGAATAGCTTAACAAGGGCGCAGAATGAAGGCAGTCCTATTTCCGCGGCGCTTCCGCGGCCGGTGTGTCCCCAGCGTTAATCTGCCCTGTCTCTACTTCCTGGTTCCAGTCAATCATATTTGTGCCCAAGGGGTTGCTATGTCTGCGCCAGCATTGGTAATTCAGCACTGACTAATAGCAGCAGCATTGTGGAATAAATAGAAGCCAACAACAGGAGTGACCCAGAAGTTATTTCTTTACAAAACAATGCTGTCAATTTGCTGCAATGGTGAAGTGACATCAGGGAGCCTTAAGCTGGGCGTACACTGTGCGACTTTTTCACTTTTTTGAGCCGATTTTCCACTCGTGCGAGAATCCACAAGATCGGGACGAGTTTTGCGCTGAGCGTCGTGTAGTGTACAGGGGGTTACGAGAGGCGATTAACACCATGTGACCAGCTACCGATCAGCAATTGTGAGCTCGCACGGACTTCTGGTTTGTTTAATATTTTCAGTTCAGTTCAGTTCAGTTCACTTTATTTCAAACATATACATTCACCAACATTTCATAAAATCATTCCACGCAATTGTTTGAAAAGGAGTAGGGAGAAGTGTATACTTATTTAGCCCTACCCCCTCAGGATTACATCCTCATCATCAAAATTTAAACAACAAAACAGTTACAATGCCTTCAAAAAAAAACCACACAAAAAAAAATAACAATAATAATAAATAAATGAAATTATCATGTTCAACTAGAACTATATTTGGATTTTCTAATTTGTAGAATAGATTAAACATCAGTTTGCATGCCGACCTGGGTTAATTGCATTTTCTTCATTCTTATACTTATTTAACATTTCTTTTTTGAGTTTTATTTTAAACTGGTTTACATTACTACTATCCTTTATTTCTTCTGTTAACTCATTCCAGAATTTAACACCCGCTATTGAAATAGACATCCTTTTCAATGTTGTCCTTACTCTTTGTACTTTTAAATTCCACTTCCCTCTAAAATTATACCTCCCTTCTCTCTCTAAGAACCATTTACTTATTTCAATTGGGAGCATCCCTTTCCTTACCTTATATATAATTTGCACTGTTTTAAACTTGACTAGGTCCTGGAATTTTAAAGCTTGCGTCTTAATAGAGTGCGTTTGTGTGAGCCCTATACCCCTCCTGATTTATTAGTCTAATAGCCCTTTTCTGCATTATGATTATAGTCTGAATATTTTTTGCATTATGATTATGGTCTGAATGTTACTTTTATATGTGTTTCCCCAAACTTCTACACAATAACTCATGTATGGTAATATGAAAGCACAATATAACATATATAATGTTTTCCTATCCAGAAAATGTTTTACTTTCTCCAAGACAGCAATGCCCCGTGCTAACTTTCCCCTCACATAAGTGATGTGTGATTTCCAACAGGCCTTATGACCAATGATCACACCAAGAAATTTTATGGTATTAACCCTTTCTAGATATACATTATCAACACAAATTTCAATGTTAATATCTTTCTTATGGTTTCCGAATAACATAAATTTTGTTTTATTTAAATTTAAGGACAATTTGTTTCTATCAAACCACGTCTTTAATATCTTTAACTCCTGTGTGATCACCTCCACAACCTGTTGAAATTCCCCACTTGAACAAAGTATATTGGTATCATCTGCAAAAATTACAAACTTTAGGATCTTCCATACTTTACAAATATCATTTATATACATTATAAACAATTTTGGTCCCAATACTGATCCTTGAGGTACTCCACATTCAATATCCATCAATTTAGATTTAAACTCATTTATTTGTACATATTGCTGCCGATTCATCACATAGCTTTTTATCCAATCCAATACCACACCCCTAAACCCATATTTCTCCAGTTTGATTATTAAAATTTTGTGGTCAACAGTATCAAATGCTTTTTTTAGATCTAGAAAAACTCCAAGTGCATACTTCTTGTTATCCATACATTCAGTTATTTCTTCCATTAAATCCATAAATGCCAAAACTGTTGATCTGTTATTTCTAAACCCATACTGGCAATTTGCCAACAGATCATGTTTTTCCACAAAGTTATCAAGTCTTTTTAGAAATAGTTTTTCCAGTATCTTAGAAAACTGGCAGAGTACCGACACTGGTCTATAATTTGTAAAACAATGCTTTTCACCTGATTTATAAATGGGAATAATTTTTGCTCCTTTCATTTTTTGTGGAAAACCCCCTTCCTGGAAAGACAAATTAAAAATATATTGTAGCGGTTTTACAATACCATCAATTACTCTCTTTACTGTTAACATATCAATATCATGGAAGTCAGTACTTGTTTTGTTCTTAAGTCCACTGACAATATCATATATCTCCTTCTCTTCCACTGCTCTTAAAAACATTGAACTTGCATTCCTTTCAATGTTTCCTCCAGTCTCCCTTTCTATCATATCAACCTTTATTTCCGCGGCTAGTTTTGGCCCTATATGTACAAAAAAATCATTAAATCCATCTACTACTTCGTTCATTTTACCAATAGTATTTGTCCCTTCCAGAAAATATCCAGGGTAGTCATTAGTCCTTGGTGCATTTTTTATTATACTATTCAATACATTCCATATCCCTTTCATGCTATCTTTATTATCTTCTAACTTTTTGATGAAGTATTCTTTTTTACAAGTTCTCATTATGTTAGTTAATTTATTTTTATACTTTTTATATTTCTTTTCAGATTCTGTAGTTCTCTTTTTAATGAATTCTCTATATAAGGTGTTCTTTTTTTTACAGGCATTTTGCAGTCCCTTCGTCATCCATGGTCTTCCTGTATATTTGTCTTTCCTGTTGACTTCAATAAGTAGGCTATTTTTCTCTAATAAGGCCATGAATATACTTAAGAATGCCTCATAGGCTTTATTGACATCCTTATGTTTATATACAATAGTCCAATCTTGTTTTATTAACTATTTTTGAGACACTGCATTGCCTTTTTTGTTCTAATTGTTTTATATATCATCTTACCTACATTTCTATGAACTTTATAGAAACAGTCATAAGTTACAAAGACTGGTAAGTGGTCACTTATATCATTTATCAATATCCCGGCTTTTATATTTTCTTCCATTACATTTGTAAAAAATATTATCTAATAGAGTTGCACCATGAGTGGTTATTCCCGTCGGTCTTGTTATCAGGGGAAATAATCCCATACAATACATTGACTCAATAAATTCTTCAGTACTCTTATTATGATTTGGGTTCAATAAATCAATATTAAAGTCTCCACAAATAAACAATCTTTTCTGATTCAGATTTGTGTACAAGTCCTCCATAATGTCCTTAAAAGTCTCAATCTTTGATCCTGGTGTTCTATATATGCAACTAACAATGATATTTTTCTGTTTGTTCATATTTATTTCCACTGTTATACATTCCGTCACTCCATCTACCATCCTCGTCATTCTACTCATTTTTTCAAACCTTAAATTTTTATCAACATAGAGTGCCACCCCACCTCCTTTTTTATTTGTCCTATCTAGATGGAGGAGCTCATATCCCTCCATCTCAAAATCCTCTTCTTTTCCAGTGTTTATCCAAGTCTCTGATATTGCTATCACATCAAATGGTTGATTAAACTGTGCTATATATGCTTTAATAAATTGAAAGTTTGCATATAGACTTCTACTATTGAAATGAACCATAGTTATATTCTTACCCCCTCTATGTTCCTATTAAATTGTTCCATTGTATAATAATTACAGTCCTTTAACATTTTAGTAAAAAAAATACAGTCAGGATCTATATTGCTATCATACCCCAATGTCCCAGTTTCAGCATCCATTTGATTTGTTACTTGAAATCTGTCAGCCATCTGACTTTGTTATATATCTTATCCACACACCATCACCTCTAACAATACTTCGTCTTGTTTAATATTTTGTTTTAATATTTTGCTCGTCCCTCGTGAGGGTATCGCACTGCTGAAGCAGCGCAGCGAGCGGCTGCGACCCAAAAAGTATCAGAACCGCTCACGGCGCATGTGCAACCATGCATCAAGACCGCTCGCCCGCTATTTCCCTAATAACACACGTTGTTCGTTTTTATTTCTACACGTTTTTTTACTCACAAAGATTGTCAAGAAAGCGTGTTTGTCGTGTTCATGTCAAATTAAACTGATCACAAAACACAGATTTACTTTCTTTATTTCGTTTTCCTAATCCAACCCCCATAAATCCCTGTGTGTCCTCCTGCAGCACTCCCGAAGGACAACAGGCAAGACAAAAAAGTCTGACGTGTTGTGTAAAAACTGCTATTTTTAGCATATTTTTTAGGGCAGACGTGTTGCTACCAGACGTACAGTGTGAGCAGTCAGGTCGCATCCGAGAACTGGGTCGTGCAGTGTGAGCGCATGACTCGTGAGATCTGCCCTGCGAGGAAGTCGTAGAGTTTGAGCTGAAGCTGAGTGCTACGAGTGAAAAAGTCGCACAGGGTCCGCCCAGCTTTAGGCCGTTTATAAGTGGTCAGATGATGGCGGTAATGTGGCACAATCATGTCCTTTTTACCAAAGATTACATGATGGCGGTATAAAGTAGGTGTGGGGCGGTCTCTGGCTGCCTCAGATTTCTAACACAACTTGTTTATTATTGCCAATGGATGTGTACCGAATTCGGTACTTTTTAAGGTACCGACCGAATTCCACAGTACCGACCGAGCACCGATTCACTTAATTTGAAATGGTGCCTCGTTTCGGTACCCGTCCTTCACAACGAAAAGTTGCCTAGACAGCTGCGCATGCGCAAGAGCGTTATGTCATCGGTCGCAGCGAGCGAGTTGTAAGCAGAGCAGCATGGTAGAAAGAACGCACGCTAAAGCTTGGGTCCACTTCACTAAATGGGTTCGCTTTCTCCTCGGAATTCCGAATCTCCGGCTTGAAGAACACGAACGCGCTCTAAAGTTTGGCTTCACTTTACTAAATGCGACGGGTGACTGGGTGAAGATGAAACCAGCGGCAACGATCTAAGTGTGAGGCATCATCGTTTTAATCTGCTCCAGCAGTTAAATAAACTGTTTAAGATAACGTTAGCTTGATATGTTAGCTTCCTATGCCACCATTGTTATCATCTAATGGTGTGTTCGCTTTCTCCTCGGAACTTCTAACTTCCCAGTAGGAAAAATCAATTGAAAAAGGACGGCAAAAGGAATGAAGATATACAGTAAATTTAGTTCACAGTAAAGATGTTTGCTTCAGTTTAATTATCAGCTTATAAAACTATAAGGACGATGTTAAAATACAAACAGCTCTATGTTATTCATCGTGATATTTATCAAATATGGTTATATATTGAGAAAAATATATATTTAATTATAAAAGAGAATTAAAAAATTAAACACTTAAAAGTATCGAAAATTGGTACCGTTAAGTACCGGTATCGATTCGTAGGTACCGGGAATTAGTACTGGATCGATTCAAATGTCAAAGGTACCCATCCCTAATTGCCATTGAGGCTCATTAAGTTTTTTTTTAACAAGCTACTTCTAAAGGTGTCTGTTCTCCACATTCCCCGTGCGGTCTCTGGTGATCGGAGCTCCAGCTCTAATGGAGATAAGCTCCTGGAGCTCTGCATCGCTCTAGTTTATAATCTCAGCTGGTTCTGTTTACAAAAATGAAACTTACAACTCGTGTTTACTATTATTTTCAATATAGTTGCTGGCTGGAACTCGACATTAACTTTTCACGTGAACCTTGACACCACCTTCTGTTGTGCCAAGGCGTAAAATGCATTCACGTGTCCGGCATTGCATCACTATTACTACCAAGCGAGGCAGAACGAATGTTGCAAAATTTGCACACCGCCATGCTGTCATGGCGCATTTATAAGGCACACGTTGCAGTATTAATGCTGATTTGCCGGCACGGTGTGTCTTGTATAAAGGGCTTAAAATCAGCTAAAGGCTAGAGGCTTTGATACATGGACTGCAGTACCCAAATGCCACCCCAGGATGTCGTTCTAACTTCATGCACCATAAAAGGGAACCTTTAAATCTTTAGAAGCGAATTTTTTTGTAATCTTTTAGTTTGTAAAACCTTTCTGAATTACCTTTAATTAGCTGAAAGATTAAAAAAACAATCTATTGTTCCTTTAAATGATTTAAGGATTTTTTCACTTAAAATATTCAGTCTTTGTAAACACTGACTCATAATGCGTAGATATTTGAATACTTTTTATTAATATGAAGGCTGCATATCTACTTTATATGGAGCATTTATACCTTTTTAAAACAAATGTATCCTTTGGCTTTTGACTCAAATAAATGTATTAATATGCAACAAACCACTTGCATGTATTTGAAAGACTGTTTATTTGGCTCCAACAGTTCAGTCATATGAAATATCTACTTGAAATACAGAATGTGATAAGAGTCTTAAGAAACATATTGAGTGAATGAAGTTATAGAAATGAAGAGTCACAACCCAGACAGTTTAATGATACTTCTGCCGTGTATCAGAGGCTGCGAGAATAAAGTTTTAACTTCATAATCCTGCACCTGCAGTTTTGTTTTAAATCCACATGTTGACCTTTTTAAAAACTCACCAATATTCCAGATTTGGCACAATTCTAATGTAACAAATATTGCAGCAGTACAGAAACATTTCAGGTATGTTGGCACTTCTGCTAATAGATCATTGAACAAAATCCAAAACTTTAAAGACAAACCCAAACAAAAAACACCGTAATAGCTGCACATTCTAAAGATACAGCACCTCGTGAGAACAAATTCTGTTAAAAAAGGCTAGAAATCAAAACACAACTTTTTAAAAAAATGTAAAAACTTGGTAAAAATCCATGAAAAAAACACTTTTAAACAAAAGAGGGAGGGTTTGAAGCACAAATGACGTAAATTAAGATTGAGTTAAAAGTCTGCTCCCTCTCCTCCCTGTAAATAAACGTCTGCAGGTAGTGGTATTCATGGCTGAACAAATGGAGCTGTAAATCACTGCAATGTGACGTTTTAAAGCAGCATTTTATGCTACATGCATGAACCAAAGTATAAATTGCACTTTGTCAAATGAGCACACATGTACATTAATAATCCACTATACATATATTAAACTACATTCAATGCAAAGAGTTGGAGAGATAGAAATAAAACAGAGCGTGTGAGACTAGGCTGTTGTTTATGACTGTGTGGCTGCAACGGTAGCGCTCATCCACGTTCAGGCCATGGGGACTTTGTTGTCATCACTCTGTCACACAAAAATAGATCCAAAGCAAATGTATGTGTGGCACGGTAAGGCCCGTAAAGTAAAGTAAATGCACAGCGAGAACAGTTTCCTGTACAATGCAGCTTTCCTGCCACTGTGTGTTTCATTATGCCTTTGACCTTTATTTAGCTGAAATTAGCTGGAATGCTGATTAGAACTTCAAAAAACAAAAACCTTCATTTAAAAAATGACAGAGAAATAAATAAATGAGAATACTTCAAAATATATGCACAGAAAACTTTGAACACATAAAAAGCCCAACAACAATAAAGAAACCAGTTGCGTCTCGCGCACATCAACTGACGATCAGATAGCACCATCTTTACCACGCTGAGAGGATCGAAACAATCACAACCAAATGTTGGATTTCCATGTATGTCTGTACGACTGGACGTAAAAAAGCACTGAGTTACCTTACATGGCACCGCCTGTGTGTGCAATTCTACCACAAGAAACATGCAAAAGTAAAGGAGGTGAAAACCATCTGTTTTTGCTCCATCTGATTAGGAATGTGACACAACTGGCCAACAGTTTGAATGATGTAAGTGGGAGAAAATGAATTTCTCTAAATGTATCCTCTCTTGTTTTTCTGTATATTTAAAGAAAAAGTTCAGATCTTTTGGGTGAAATTCTTTGAAAAAGAGATGAATAAATGATATTGTACCTGTTGTAGATTTTGCTTTAAATGGCCTCAGTTTGGAGAAATGGAGATAAACTGTGATTGGATTGACAAGCTAATGGCTAGTCAAAGAAATGCTAAGAAGAAAAGATGATTGTTGTCATCTAAAAACAATTGTAATGCAAAAAAATACATAGAGGTTGATGCTAACAATGTAATGAATAATCTTGCCAGTGATGTCAGATTTGCATGAAATTATTATTCCAGGTTAAAAAAATAATATATATTCAATATATTGCGACGTGTTTAGAGTTTGAACACATTTTTTATGTGGAAGCAGGTAGAAACAGTTAGCTTCCAGTGAGCACAAAGCTACAGATTTGAGGACAATTTATTGTCTTGGAGAAAAACATGAATAAAGCTACTTTGGTAAAAAAAAAAATCTATAAAAGTTACAAAAAGTAATAGAGTCTTACTCATTAATATTCATGATATACAGACATCTCCTCTCTTATTGGCTAACAGGATAGCAACTCTTTTGCTGCCTCCGTTTGCTCTGCAATGTTGATGATTTATCTCCACAAATACCACAAGCCTCAAGGAGTTCTGCCATGTGGTTAGCTTCTACTAACTGAGATGTGTTCTGCTGTTTCCTTGATGTCGAATCAACAACAGCCTTCCCTGTTGCGAGCCAAGAAATGAGAGTCCGTGAAGGCTAATTTTAATGTGATGTAGATCTTTGTAGCTTTTTCTGACCTGAGCGTTTGCCCGTTATCTGTCGGTAGCTAATGCAGGAAATAAGGGTTGAGGACTATTTTTGAGTTGAGCATGCATGAAAAACTCAGTTACTGACCGTATTTCAAAAAGAACAAGTAAAAACCGTTTTGTCATTGAACTTGCTCTTTAAGACAGCAGTGACCTACTTTGGTCTCAACCCTGCTAGGACTAACCGTTATCTCATCTATGTGGTCAAAATAAAACTTTATTTCTCCCCACTAAGGCTGTTTGAAGAGCCATCTACAACATTTAGGACATTTGTAATCCAAAACCTTCATAGAATATTACTTGAAAGAATCTGAACTACCACTTTAAGACAACAAAAGAAAATAAAAAGAGTTTAAAAACAATCGTTAGCACTGGAAACACCAACAAATCAGCTAGTCTCCTGAAACTGAAGGGGGAACCCACCTCCTCAGATTGAGATGTGCCACCTTTTAAATTATTTCTGATATTTAAGAAACCTTGCCAGAGTAAACTGTTCATGCAGCAAACTAAGAAGACTGTACAAACAATACTTCATACAATGAGTGACATGCACTCCGGTGAAGCTAATCCTGTTAAAAGTAATTCACATGAGAAAATATATAACAGTGCGTAATGTCTTTTCTGTCTTCCCAAATAAAGCTTCCCTCTCTGAAATATACACCATCAACATGGTTCAGAACAAGATACACATTTGTACATTTCTTATAAAGGAATGAATAAAAGCTTGAGGCACCAAAGGCTATTATACACAAAATACAAATGAATGAGAGCAAAAAGAATCAATGAAGAAAACATAAACGCTGTTGTGTTCAGTCAGCGATCGCCAAGGAAACCGATGAGCCTTCTCAACGACTGCTCTGGTGCTTGGCCTGTCCAGACTCAAATCTTCGTGGTTTCTCTTCTCTGCGTGCGCTCGTCCAGAGCTTAAGGTGTCTGACCGACGCACGGTGAAGCTCCGCTGAGACCGAGCGCTCTGCAGGCCCCACCACAATAAAGCAAGAACTACCAATGGTTTACTCTCTGAGAATTCTCAGGCTACCAGCCATGGGGTGACTCCCTTAGGAAGATATAGGGAAAGCAAAAGTTACCATTTTTCTAGAAGCTATGACACAACCACATACCGGTGACAAGTATGTACAATTCATTTAAATATACTACTCATGCTTTTTCAAGGGGTCAGCTCAACGCAGTCCTTTGTTTTTTCATCCTTTTTTAGTCTCTGAGCTGCATGATCCGGTGGTGAGCTTGTTGAGACAAAACAACACACAACACCTAGCGCTTGTGTTAAGGAGCTAGTCCAGATCCTTCCTCTTTCTCCTCGTCTCACCTCCACCACACAGCAGGCAGGCCTGACTGCAACAGCTCCAGGTTTTTTTTTAAAGCCATGCAAAAAAACCAAAAAAACTTAGAGTTGAGTTCTTCCGCCGGCTGAGGATCTGAGCTCTGCCGCCAACGTGGATGTGAGACACACACAATGTTTGGTTTGCACACAGCGATGTGAGTAGAAGCAGCTCACGGCAGGACACTCAGCATGGTTATCTCCTTTTTCTTACACCGTTTTTTTATCTCCTCCTTTTCTTTTTGAATTTTCTCCATTAAAAAACTATAAATACCATAAAAGAAGCATTATTTACAAACTCCATGCGTTTCAGGTTAGAGCGATCACTGCAAGAAAAGCACAGAAGAGACAAAACGAGTAGTTTGAGAAGGTTTTTATCCAGTTCGGTTCAGTGTGATTCGGTTCAACACTCATTTACTCATGAATAATTGGACTGAAACTCCATGCAGACACCGGGAAACCAACATGAGTAAAGAAAAAAGGATTAAAGCAGACATCCAGAGTTTTTCTCAGGTACACCCAAAAAAGGCTTTAGTGAGGTTGTGGAAATGAAATGAATGTATTATGTGTATACTGCGTGGTTTGTTTATGTTTCTGGTCCAAACATGATTTTATTGTTTGTCAGGTGAACAAGTGCAAATCATGCTCTCATGGAACATTTACATCCTGGTTTCTGTGGAAACCCTGCCCCCTAGAGGAGAAGCTTTGGAGAAAAATTCAACTTGTTCATCAGCCATTTTTTATTGGGTATATTGCAAACTTTCTGCAGATAAGGTAAGTTGTAGTTTAATAAATGTATCAATATGTAACTTAATGTAGTCATTCAGCGTTTGACTTTACAAAGATATAATTTCATAATGCCAACATGTTAAATCCATGTTAATAGAACATGTAATGGTCATGTTCTAATAACATGGATTTAACATGTCGGCATGACATAACTGTTGTACATGATTCAAGTAAGTAAATACAACAGACTTTTTCTTTCAGTGCACATCCACAAACATGTGTGCACAGTGCAAGGTCAGACTATCACTTTTACAGATTTCTAAAAAAAAATACATAAATCCTGAGAGGGAAATCTCCGGATGTCTGCTTTAAAAGCAAATTTACAGTAATAATGAATTATGTCTGTGACACTACTTCTCCTACCTTCTGCCAACAGCCAGGCATTGGTAATCCATCTGGGCCCTGTTCAGAGAGGAGAAACCATCACAACAGGCACATTAATGTGTGTTAAAATGTGATTCTGTTGCATTATTTATTAGATTAATGATCAGAAGTTTGCACAAAAAGGCTTATACGCAACATGCTATAGATTTTGTTTATTGTTTATTTTTTTGTTAATTATATATAGATTGTTGAGACATTTTTAGGTAGATTGTTCTTTGAGCAGCCTCAGTTTGGAGAAAGAGTTTACTCTGAATCGAGTGACAAGACCCTAGTCTGACTGGTCAAAATCCAAGTGGACTTATTGCTTCATTAAAAATCCCCAAGCTCCAAAGATTCATAATAATTAAAGCTTCTAGTAAAACAGGAACCGTTTGCAGGTGTTCTGGATTCATTAGCTGATTAGAGTGGGACAATTTGAGTCTAGAATATAGAATTTTTTTAGACAATATTCTTATTATCTGAGATTTTGGGTTTTCATCAGCTGTAAGTTATAATCATCAATCAAAATTACATCAATCCTCTATGATCCTGGCCTCATCAGACAACCCGTTAGCTCTATATTTCTCCAAACTGAGGTTGTTCAAAGAGCTTCTAAACAGGTTAGGTATAAATCAGTCTTCCCTCTAAATCAAACTTCGGAGACTAATTGTTTTAATAAGTACACATCAATAAATAGACTTTTTTTTGCAGAAAACTTGATAGACATGCAGTTTAGAAATTTTCCAATGTATTAAATGGTATTGGAACAAATGACTCAAGGGAATATTTTTTTTTATTTACAAACATTTAGTAGGTGAAAAGTTTCATTTAGAATTTTTTAAATAATTTCACTCAAAGTTGTTGAAAAAATATTTGAAAAGTGTATTTAAATGTTTTTGTTTGTCTCAGATTTGTCATAAAGGACAAGGTTAACTTTATAATTTTTCAGATGGAAGTAAAAACACAAATACACTTAACAGGATTCAATAAATTACATATGCTGCATAATTGATTTCTGAGTTTAAAGCATAATATAATGATATAATAACTGATCCAAGGAAGATCTTTCTTTCTTTCTTTCTTTCTTTCTTTCTTTCTTTCTTTCTTTCTTTCTTTCTTTCTTTCTTTCTTTCTTTCTTTCTTTTTCAATTTATATTTGAATAAAATATCAAAAGCCTCAAAAAATAAAATAAAAACTATTTGGATAACTTGATTTTTAATTTGGATTTTAACTTTCAAGATTTAAATAAATCAGGTTGAGAAAACGTTACATAGAAGTTTAACTTTTTGGACATGTCAGTTCTATTCAGTTTGATTCAATTGACAACAATCATCCAAAATACTTTCAATTTAAAAACTAAAACTCTCCAACAACAACATGCATTTTCCCCCTATTGTCTAATTTTGATGTCTAATGCACCACCGTAGGTTGTTTATTTGGTTAGTTTTCAATTATAACCCTGTTAGTTAGTCTAAAATAACATAATACTTTAGTCAAAAGTATCTACTGAGTCATGCACAAAATACACAACAGTAAACATGCACATCATGATGATTCTACTCCGAGTTTGTTATACTCCCTCAGTTAAAAAGTAAGAAGTGAGAAAATATAACAAAATCTGTTTAACTTGAAATATTTGAATGAGGGTTGGGCATCTTTTGAATTGGAACTATTCCGGTTCCAATTACAATTCTCTGTTTCGATTCCAGTTCCTAGTGATTCTTGATGCCAGTTCTTCCAAGAGGCAGGGTCAAAAGACTTTACATGTTTTCATTTGCCAGCTAACCGTATTACTTACTTCATGTTTGAATGCCTCCATGGACTTTTAAAGTGAAGCTACATTTTAGAACACTTCACATATTTTTATGATAACACATCCGCTTCTGGCAGATTCTTCTTCTATGGTATTTGGTGGCCTCTTCTGGTTGGCAGACTGATAAATGAAACTGGGAATCAGGTAAAAAAAAATTGAACGATTCTAGAAAAAACAGAACATTTGTCCAGATTCCAATCGATGCTTGATGCCCAACCCTATTTATAAGTGACCATGAGCCATTTCTTTTGGAGTTAAATACATAAAACATCGCTGATGCTTTAAAATGAATTCATTAAACCACCCAAATTCCTACCCACAAATTTCAGAAAGATCAGACATCAAACTGCTATGTTCCGAGAATGTCCGAAATATGCAGATCTGTGAATGTTTGACTTTCTCTTCTCGTGATGTCTGGCCCAATTGGTACAAAAACAGGAAGGAATAGGAGAAAAACGGACTGAGAGAGGGATTCGTGAGTCTTTAGCATTTAGCCAACGCGTCAGTAAAGGGATCTGTGTTAGCGACAGGTTAAAGGCCAAAAGAGGGCTCAGCAAGGAGTACACATTTAATTCCCAGTTATAATCAAGGAAAGGGCAGGAATCAGTTAGCGAGATACGTTAAAGAATCCATTACCATTTACATATGTGGCTCATCTAAAAGGGGCTGCTTGCAGTAAAGATGTTAGTGATATTTGTTTGTGAGGTTTTGTTAAAAAAAACTGATCAAATATGAAAACAAATGGGATTAAAATTCATTACTAATGTTACATTAAGATGAAGACTTCATGCTCATAAAAAAATAAAAAAAATATATCATGCCCGAGCTGGTGTCGGTGATGCTGCACGTGAATGTCATGCAGGGGTATGAGGTTAAGGAAAGAGAGAAATACTGTACCAATTGGCATGGGGCATCCAGCCCATCCAGACCTGGCTGCCCTGGTTCCCCCTTTTCACCCTTAAATCCCCGGAAACCCTGTTTGCAAAGATGACCTAGGAGTGTTACTTGGAGAGAGGTGGACCCTTGACCCATACGTCTGTCTGTAAAGACAGACTTGAGGATGAAGGGGAAGGAGGAGCTGCCCTGTGAGGATGCTGAGTAGAAAATCCAATTAGATCAGCTGATTCAGGCATCTACTGTAACATCTGGTGTCTAAACTGAGGGCTATTATGGAGGCAGAAATATTTGGCCTCAGTGTGCCCAAAGGGAGCTCCTTCTTGTTCAGAGCGGCTGCTCTCCATGGCTGGTGTGAAAACTCCAGCTCACGTTGGGACATACCAATGGGCAGGGTGCATCTAATCCTGGGGCACCCTGTTCTCCTTTCTCGCCCTTAGGCCCTTTTTTGCCCTTCTTTCCCTTCTCCCCCTGTGGATACAAGTGGTCGGTCAAGTTAACTTCATTATCCAACATTGCTCATAAGAAGGAATTACAGAGGGCCATTTGTGGCCCACGAGGGGTCAATAGGGGTTAGGTGGGAGGCATTACCAGGCAGTGTTGGAAGATTTTAATAGGAAAAGGACAGAAAATGGGGAAACAAGTCAGGAAGGAAGGAGAAAGGCTTCATTAACAAAGTGTTGTCAAGGGCATGGAGGATGAGAAAGGCCAGCAGGGGAAAACCTCCAGAGAAACAGAATTAAACCCAATACACAGCAACAAAAACTGGATGTTTATAAATGTTCATAAAGGCCAAACCACATTTTACTCATATCTTACCTGTACGTTTTGTAAATTCACAGTTCCAGTTGTTCTTGTGATTAAGAGGAAAAGCATTCTAACTCTTCAAAGTGACATTTTATGGCAACATGTCCAACAAATGTATTATTTGTTACACATAATGTGTTTTGTGTCGCTGATCTTCTATAACAAACATTGTAAACCAGCCTATATAGCAAAAGACACAACATAGGAGTTTATTGATGTTGTGGTTCCGTTGTGGTTCCTTGTTGTTTTAAATGGTTGTTTCATGTTGCTTTCAAAAAGTCAATTCATAAATTTAAATTGTTCATTATACCTCCATACAATATATTCACTCATGCATACACTCGTCATGGACAATAATATCAAGATTACCATTTGTAGGTTTCTCAGAACTTTAATTTTTTATTTTTTTGCGCCAGAATGATGGAACATCATACAACTCAGACTTATTCATTGCGGCTGAATTTCCTTTTTTTTTTTTGCAGTAGGAAACAATGATAAATCAACGTCAAAGCTGCTTATTGTCTTTTCCTTTCATTCTGCTTTACCAGCAACTCTTCCTACTTTAAAGTGACAGTATGTATTTTCCTGGTGAAAGGGGCAGTAGATACCTAAATTGTCGCAAGCAAGCTGTATTTTTGTGTTGGAGTAAGACCTTGCAATGGATGCCCATTAGGGTCAAAAAGCCCTGGGGAGTGCAAACTTCAGCAAAACAACAAGCACTTCAGACTCCCTTTCATCACTGGCTACTAGTGAAGACGTAAATGTGTAAAACAACAATGTTTACTAATGGTGAAAGTTTTGTAACCATTTGTTACAAATCAGTAAATACATTTTGTCCTCAAGGGCTTCCATTGAGGGGAAACATGGCATCTGATATGGCGTCGCCCAGAGACTTAGGCCGGCTCCCATGTATTTTAGACCTGATTTTTATAGATATTTAATGGAAAAAGTTATTAGATTTTTCCCTCAGCTCTGTGTCTTTTCTTATTTTATGATTGACTGGGCCTGATGGCTAATGTGGTGGTGATTGGAACCTCCCATTTTGCTTCATTTAGTCGAATGAGGAGAATGGGCATTGCTCTGTCCAGTAATAACTATGCCTATGCTTACAACCAATCAGCATGATATAAACACAAGTCTCGCCCAGTGACTCAAACAAACCAAACAGGCCATTTCCAAATACGCACCCCAATAGGGAGCCTAAGTCACACCCATCTACTTCTGGACCATGGGTCCCCGGAAGAAATAAATAAATTACTGCAAGTCAATGGGGCTAAAAATGCTATTTTCTAATTCCGCTTGTTATGTACCATGGATTTCACATAGGATGTCTGTGAATTTTAAAGACACATTTTGATGCCAAGAACGCGCTTATTTTCAAACAGGGAGAAACGTTATTGTAGGTTTTGTGTGAACATAAGTTCAGGACTACAAATGCGCTTCATGAAAGGGACGCCATCAAACCAGACACGGAAAAAAACTGAGGAAAATGGCTGTAAGTTCAATGAACTTCAAATCATTCCTTCAGGAGGAAAGAACCACCATAAATCTGGCCAAGTATTACATATGTGCAATCCATGGGCGTAAGGCTAAGCGGATTAGAAGATAGCCCAATTGCCTTGCATTCTTTTTTTCTTTCTTCCAGGGACCCATGAGCCGACCGGAAAGGAAGGAGACTTAAGCTTGGTTTATGCTTGACGCATTCACTTTCCGCTTGGTGATGCGGCTCGCGGATGGAATGCACTTCACAACTCACAGCGTTTATGGTTCATGCGGCTTGTCTCTGCGGTGAGCCAATATTCTCCCAAACTGAACGGGGCAGCATGGAGCTCTACGGCATGCATCCAACACTACACCATAGTAGAAGTAAAAATTACTGTTGTTTACAACATGGCATTCCAGCATTTTTAACAGCGTCCTCGTCTTTTCCGACAGTGCAAGCTATTTCTCTCCAAGAATTATTAACATGTTGATCACGGTGATCTCTGAGAGCTGAATCATACAAATGTCTGTATTTACGAACCTCTGCCATACTAGTTCTTGCCAGTCCGCCATGTTTTTCCGCGTCCGACCATCCGCGTGGTTAGAAAATTTCCTAGGTGCACGGTGCAGACATTTTGGCCCGTGCGGAGGCGCAGTGGAGGGGCGTGGTTGTTAAAATGACGCAATTTCGCCGCGCGGAGCTGTGCGGACCTTGCAGACGCGTCAAGCATAAACCAACCTTTAGGCTCCCAATGAAGCTACTCATTTGGTTCCGAAAAGGGCCTGGAAAGTAACCTTTTGGGGCGGGCTGGTGAAATGGAGACATACGCATAGTGTGAAGGCCGCTAAAAATACCAAGATGTTTCCACAGTGGAAACGGTTCTAATGTCAACATCAATTCTGCCAGATGTTTGTTGGTGGCTTCCAACAGCTTCAGAGAAATCCCACAGAATCTGCTTTTTTGGGATAGTGTCATAGAGGACCAAAGTCTGAGGACGAGTCTGAGTTTATCATCACTGTATTGATATTTTTCTGTGTAGGTCTTACACTTTTGCTTTTTATTTACTACAGTTCTTTCTTGTATTATAGAAATAATGATTTAAATAAAAAACTGGTAAATACAAACTGGCACATGGAGCTCTTGAAATTGTTCAGAACCATGAAGAGTGTACACTTGTATCATGAGAAATCAGTATTGAGAATAGTTTTATTCAAACAGAAAATAAATGTAAATAACACACCAAATGCATTTTAAAGACACATATCTGATAAAAATTTAAACCTATTAGACAATAAAAAAGAGACAAACGGTGAATAAGTGTAGCCAGTGAAAGGGAAAGGTAACCAACAGGCTCAAGAAGTAGGGACAGTGCTACTTCAGGTCATGCATGGAAAGCACACAAAATGTGAAATATGAGCATGTGTTTGAAAAGCCTGTTGTCAATGGACATGTTTGGGTTTAAATGTTGGTTTCACTTTTTGATGCTTGTAATGAGATCAGATTTTGAAACAATGAGATGGTAAACTGTTGGAAAGAGGAAAACAAACACTGGTCTGAGAGGACTGGGGATGATATTTCCTGTAAAGGCTGAATTCAACAAAAACAAAATGGTCTTCCAATTGGTTTACCTAAAGAATAAATACTTTTTCTGCAAAAATAGGTAAACAAAACATTACAATGATGATTACAAATCTTAAAACCATTCCTTTTTTTAATAAACTGCATTGTAAAGAGTCAATGTGCACCTGAAACTAAAGAAGGGTTAAAAACAACTACGAAACTAATAGCTATTAAATATGTCTACACTGTCCATTGACATCAGTTCTCTGCTTTGTTAGTAGTATTAACACACCATTACAGTATAACTACATCTACCTTTTCTCCTCTTTCCCCAACGTCGCCTTTATCTCCCTTTAGACCTGGTAACCCCTGGAAGAGTACAACTTGACTTAATCAAACTCAGCCCAAACTAAGCAAAAACAGAAGGGCTTTGATACGATTACAAAGGTAAACACATCAGGTTTAAAGAGAAATGAAACCTGAGGATGAGGGAAGGTGAAAAGTAGAGATAACAAAACATAAAGAGATGTGGACCAAAACACAGCTGTCTGAAGGTATGCTGGTGGTTTTGAAATATGTAGTTTAAAAGAAAACAGCAACTCTACAGGATTGACTACAACAACATTTGTTGTCTTTGATTGACCTTTGGCACCAGATTTTCTTTACTAGATTCTTAATATTAGGTATGGTGTTCAGTATCCTCAGAGAATGTTGATCTGAGCCAAATTTGTATGTTTCTATTAAAATCCTAAAGTCTTTAGCATTTTATGTAAGCTCCAAAGTTTGAGAAATTATAGGTTAACCATAGCTGTTTTGGTACGCCAGCTCAAATCTCAAAAACACTCTTACACATGATTGGTTAGCTTTCAGAGTCTGCGGTGGGAATGACTCACTGCTGCTATCACATCGAATTGTTACATTTTTAATCTTGATTAACAGTGATGGCCATTTTGAATTGGGTTGCTAGTTGTAGATGTCCATCAAATGGTCACTTGCGGAGAGTTTTGTGGAAATGCCTCCAGTTAGATATCATGCTAATGAACACATACATGCAAAAACATGATCTCACACTGCTGAAAAGAGAAAACCGGGTCATAAATGTTATCAACCCAAATAAGTATGTGTGGAAATTTCATGGATATTATCTTACCTAATTAAATCCTGGAATTGTAATTACACAACAGATGTCTCAGGGTCTATACAATCATTTATGCCAAAGGAGAGATCATGTGGCTGTAAACTGAGTTGAAAATGTAAATTCAGCGACCTGTGAGACATTTCTGCAGCTGCTCGTGCTTGTTGGTCTGTAAAAATGCAAACAAGTATGACTTCCACTAAATAAAATGCAGCTGTGACTCTTCCGTAATTTTAAAGTTCTAATTAAATGGGTGTGATGAGACTAACAGCTACTGCCAACAGGGATGAAACCCTGAAACCTCACTGTTTAAAACAGATTTTGGATCTCTCTTTACGTTGTTGCACTTGATTCTGAAAAGTTGTGTGTTCGGTTAATGTTCTACTTAGTGGAGAAATCCATTTGAATTAATGTTTAAGTTTTTCAACATTTTTTTTAATTTTTTTTTTTAATTTTGACCCAAAACTTTAAATCACTTACATCCAGCCCTGGTGTTCCAGCTGCACCCTAAAAAAAGCAAAGAACAATGGATTTTATATTGAAAAACATCTCCAAACATCTACATATGCTTCTTTTTTAAATAAATCACCACACTGCCATGTACCATGTTTCCGTTTCGTTAACCGTATCAGACTTACCGGTAGTCCATAAGGTCCCCTCGGTCCGGCTTCACCTGGTGCTCCACGTTCACCCTAAAAAATTGATGAATGTTGCCTCATTTAAAGCAAAACATGGCACTCCAAAATAAAGAAACAAGCAAAATAAACAGCATAGTTAAATAGTCAAATGGAGGTCTTACTATGTCACCCTTCGGACCAGCAGGACCAGCTGGACCCGGAGGCCCGTCCATACCCTGCAGAGAATATTGTTGCTATGGTGAATTTCACAAATTAAGACAAAGTAATTACAACAACAAGAATTTCCCGAACAAATAAAGCTTGTGTCTGAGCTACAGCCATCACACACAGCTCGTAGACGTGCATTGGCCACAGAAGACATTTACAACACTGCTGATAGTTAATTTATGAGTTGTGTGTTAATGCAAAACGGGACAAAAACAAGAGCCTTGAAATGTTTGTTGCAACTTCTTCCTGTGTGTGAACTAAACACTGTGTAGATATAGTGCAAGTGGTTATGCATAAAAATAATAAAAGGAAAACATGTAATGGTGACTTGGGAAGAAAAAAACAAAGAAGTGGATAGGCGTTGGGTGGTGAAGCCTCTCGATCACATGACACTCACCCTAATTCCGGGCTTGCCGTCCAAGCCGGAGGCTCCCTGTGTGGTTATGAAGGTATGAGTGACATGAACAAGGCGGGATTAGTACCAGATGAACACTGTTATTAGGACAGGTTGATGGCAGGGTTTATAACAGCTAAATTACATTGCGTGTTACTGGGAGCTTGGCAAAAGAAATCAGTCCAGGTGAACAAGAATGAGGACAGACAATGGGGACACACGCATACATAAACACACATTTGCATGTGCACACTATGCTTGACAATAAATAAAAAAAACATGTGACACAGTGAAAATGGACATTTGTTTTGTATTTAAATGCACTACTTACAGGGAGGCCCAGCGGTCCACGGTCCCCTTTGTGTCCCGGTTCCCCTCTCGTTCCCTTCATACCGTGTAAACCAGGTTCTCCCTATGAAAACAAAAAGTTTCTTTAATTATAAATAATTAGTTTACTGTGGCAAGCAGCTATCAATTCTAACTGAACTAAAGTAAAAACTACAATAGCAAATCTGTAAAACAAGCTAGCTTAAAACATTTTTTTCCATAATTATTAACAACGTTCTAACATCGTATAGCTATTTATACAGTATATTGCGGAGATAAAAATAAACCAAAAAATAAATAAAATGAATGAATTAAGTGATTCTCTCGCATTTGTCTACAAACCTCCGCCAGTAGTACGGTTCAGTGCAAAAGCAACTATTGGACCATATGGTCGTCAGTCTCACCAAACCACCATGTTTCCACATTTACCTTGGTCCTTCATTCATTTTGTGCTTGCACACTTAGCAACAGAACACCACTGGTGAGAGATGATCTCTGCTCAATAATATCAGCGAAGGAGAAACAGCCGGCTGCTACCACTTCTACTTTAGGACAAACTACCAGAGTCCCAAAACGAAATACTCCATCTGAAGTCACGGACAAGAAAAGGCGTCTGGACCTATAATGATGACTGGTGTTTAGCTCTCTGTTGTTTATGCTGGTAATGTGGATTCTGGCAGATGTGGCCCAGAGATGAAAGCCGACAAGAGGGGTGAGAGTTGATCGTGTTTATGTTTAAAAGCTAGCTTCTTTGCATATTTACAATTGCAGATCTGTAATTAACTTGAACTTCCACATTTGTTCTCATCAGTTCAGTGATTCATAGAAAACAATTTGTTAAATGCCAATAGCCTCTCTATTGGCATTTAACAAATTACTTTCTATGAATCTAAAACAGTTCTGAAGTAATTCTTAATTGTCTGATACGCGTAGAGGTTTGGTTGGGGTCTGATTTACCTTTGGTCCAGGAAAGCCATGCGGTCCCTGTAAGAGAAAGTGAACAATAGATTTTATATGACTGGATTAAGATAGGTTAGATAACACCAGACAGGATGCCTGTGGTCATCGGGGCACTCGGGGCAGTAAGCCCCTAAATGGAGGAGTGGCTAAAGCAGATCCCAGGAAAAACATCAGATATCTCAGTCCAGAAAATTATTGGAACTGTGAACTTGTTTTTTTATTAGGAACTGAACTAGTTTGATTTTAAATGTTAGGACTGAACTTTAAACTAGTTTGTTTTTTACTGGTTCCCCTACACTCCCACCCAAACACCAGTTCAAATAGAATTCAATTACTTCATTTTCCAGCAGGTAGTGGCTTACCACATTATATCACACATCTCTACATGACATCAGGTCTTAGCAGAGGTTGCACTAGACATTTTAGTTGTCTGTAATTTTGTCCGACATAGTATAAAAAAACATGGTGATGTCACAAGGTTCTGGACTTTTGCCTCGGGCAGACTCATGGCTTTTATGTTGTTCTGGTAGCTGAATTTATTCTCTGCTGCCACACACAGATGCTCCATGCTCCTGCTTATATGGAAGGCCATCAGAGACAAAATACCCTTGTGGACAGGAAGCGTGTTTTTTTACGGGTGGTATTTTGTCCCTGATGGCCTTCCATATGTCCACTGCTCTTCAGCGCGCTGCCCAATTGGATGCGCTGCCAATAGTGAGGGGTTCGAGAATGGTGTCCAAAAATGAGATAATGCTCAGATGCTCTGATGGGAATCTTTTCTTGATTGCTTTTGTTACCTCCGCGATGTTCTCTATGTGTAACGTTTAAAATGTCTGCGCACCTGCAAGAGTCGGGTGCGAATTGCAATCTGTCAAAATGGCAAACAACCGTCAGATTTTTCTGTCACTGTTAAATAAAAAATGGTCAAATACAGAAAATATCCGGTTAACACAACCCCTGGGTTGGAGCTACAGATCAGATGACTTTCTAAGATATATTTTACTGTCAAACTCACCATAGGTCCCGGGGGCCCGTGCGGTCCTGGGGGCCCTGGAGGGCCGACAATCTGAAATCATATGTAGAAAATTCTGAATTAGGACGCAAGGAGACTATTAAATGTTGTCTTCTCTGCATTTCACAAACAGTGCTAGGGGACAAGCTGTAATTAATTTGATGCTAATACCTTTAGCTTCAGAATGCTCACTTGCACTCATTAGCTTAACCCTCCCACTGTCCTAGTGGGTGTGACCCCGCGAGGGAAGTTGACCATTGAGCAGGGTTGATGGTTTATCCCTTGGGTCCATGTGGCAGGGGTGAGGAGTGAGCACCAGCTCACCCCTGCCACATGGACCTCAAGAGATAAACCATCAATCCTGCTCAATGGTCAACTTTCCTCGCGGGGTCACCCATAAACACAGTGGGAGGGTTAAAAGTGCAGCCGTTTAAACTTTTAACTGTGACTCAAATTCAGGAGTGCAGCTCCTCATAATCAGAGGTCAGGAGGCAGGAAATGAGCAACAACTGATCACTGTGTTGGAATTTGAAACATGTATTGATATCACATAACACTAAAGGTCAGAAGGGATGAAATTGTGTGTCAGCTATAGCAACAGATACACTGTAAACCCAGGTTTTGATTCAACTCATATGGACTTGTTCACATTGCTTAAATGTGTCTAAACCGTTAACATGACTTGTTAATCCTGAGTTAGTGAAGCCGTTTCATGTCCTTTCGTATTCCAATTGTGTTTTTAAGTCCAATCACTATGAGTTCAAGTAATTTTAGTACTTTTTAATGGTTTAGCTTACTGTAACTGTATGTTTGAGCTCAAACTACTTAAAATAATCAAGTTTGTCTGGTTGCACCCGCCAAAAACCTGGTTCATAAGGTTAGGGTTTCCCGCATACGCGATTCATTTTCATTTTGGATGCTGTTAAATAAACTTCTCCGTCTGTAGCATGATCAGTAGGAACGGGAGAAGAGAGTGAGCTCTCTCTCTGTGTGTGTGTGTGTGTGTGTGTGTGTGTGTGTGTGTGTGTGAGTGTGTGTGTGCGCGCGCAAGCTCTTGCCTAGGTGAACAGACAGCTTGCTCAGGGAAGAAACCAGTGTGTGTGTGTGTTGCACAAGATTATGAGGACACGCACAGCAATCGAATAAAATGGTTCAGTTTCTATAAGTAAACTAATCCAGATTAACAGTGATCACAGGGAAAACTATTACTCACAGATGGACCTTGAGGACCAGTTAGTCCTGCATCTCCTTTATCTCCCTTTGCCCCATTTACACCCTAAGAATAAAAATTGAGTTGTCTGAAGACTGCAGATCTTGCAAAGGTACATTTGAGAAGCTTTCTTCTGTGTGATGTTGTGACTCTTACAGGTAAACCAGGTAAACCGGTGGTTCCTTTCTCTCCAGAGGCCCCGGGCATTCCCATGTCTCCTTTGGAGCCTTTAAATCCCTTAAAGAGACCAGATGTGTGCAGAAAGATGACTAAAAAGGATCTGAACTCATCACACAGCTAGGGGAACTTAGACCAATTAGTTGTTATTTATGATAATTCTGACTTACTCTCTCTCCATCCAGTCCAGGGAGACCAGGCAAACCACGATCCCCCTGAGGCAACACAAAAAGACATAATTTATATGAAAATATCAAAATATTCTTATGTTTATGTTATATTCACGGGGAAGTCTGAAACATTTTGTTCGTAATGTGAGGAAAAATGATGAAATTATTATGTACCTTTATTCCTTGAGGTCCGATTGGTCCAGGCGGCCCTGGAGGACCCTGAGCAGAAAGAATCACACTTTAACAGCTTTATTTAGAGCAACAAAACAAAACAAAAAACACAAGGAGAGGCTGGTTATGTTACACATGATCATAATGTCAGATCATAACAAACATGAAAGACTTAATAAAAACACATCCCAAGTCAGTATCTCACAGGACTGTGCAACCGTTGGTAACAAACGACAATAACCTCAAAAGAGTTTCCAAAATGTTTTAATTGTTCTCAAGGGTCCTCAGATTCCTCTTGTAAGTTGCATGGTCTATCTCTTGTTCCGCTGGGTAGTGAACACTCTGACACACGTTTAGTACATTCCAGCTCAGTGGGATTCCGACTGGAAATTTTTGTGTCTCCAACTTGTCATCAACTGTGAGGTACTGGCTTTAAGTGATAGAAAGGGAGATTTGCATGATTGTGATCAGTTCGTCTTGTAGACTCTTGAAAACAAAATCCCAACTTCTGGGCCCTCACGTATCAAACGTTTGTACAAACTGACCTTTTTCCCAAAAACAAAATAAAAAATAAAAAACCTTTATTGATAACGAGATTGAAACACTGGCTGTCGAAGCGCAAAAGAACCAAATAAGTTATAAACGTGGTCGGGACGGAGGTCTCCGTCAGAAATAAATAAACAAATCGAATCGGATAAATCGCAGAGTAACAGGTTGTCATTTACATTTAAGGAGTCGTTCTAGTTGGAGTTAGTTTTATTTGGAAATGTTGTCTGAGAGTGTAGCCTCTTAGCTGTCATTCAGTCTGGTTACCATGACAACGCGGCATGTATGATGAGGAGCGGAGGGGATTCTGGGGGGTTCTCGCAGTTGTAAAATAGAATATGAACTGGAATCGGATTCATGCTGTTTATCTGTCGCTCCACATGGTTCCCAAACCACAGCACAGCTCCAGAAGGATCTCCTTCAGGAATCAGATCACTGCACTCACAGCGGACACTCTGCCAAATCCTCCAACACAGATCAGCCATGGTATAATGTCCGAATTCTATCGGTCACATGTGCCTTTTATTGGTTTTAGCACCAATTATACGAGAAAGCTTTTTTCCACCAACATAATTATTTATTGGTTAAAATACTTTATGGATGAGGAACATGTGGACGACTGAGACCTTCATTACTGTGGTTTCCACGTTCTACCACTAAATGCTGTTCCTACGCATGGTCAGAGCTGTTCTTATATGTAGGAACATTATCACGCACCGGTACAAAATGGTAAATACCACACAATGTGTAAAATCGTTCCTATGCTTGAAATAAACACAGATCTGTGCGTAAGTACGGTTGATAAATGAGGTCTTAGGGCTTCTAGATTGAGTATTAGGATTCGAAAACCTGCCACGTCCAGTCCTATACATGTTTACTGCCCTCTGGTGTAGGATCTAAATGCTGAGGGCAAATGTACTTTCCCAATTATTGATATATTGTTAAATAATTACACAATAGGTTAAAAAAGATCATAAAAGAGTATTATTTGAGGTCTGTTTTCCACCTAATTTCACGGACTGGATGCACGTGTCTTCATTTCACCGGTACGTCTTTCCGGGCCATTTCGGGAACCAAACAAGTACCTGTCTTGCAGTCTTTATTCTGAGTCGCTGGGTGGAACTTGTGGCTAACTCATGCTGATTGGTTGTAACTCAGTCACCAAATTACCAACATTTGCAAAAATGCAGGTTAAGCCGAAGGGAAGGAAAAGAAACTTAGCAGCTTTTATGCCGCTTTAAAATCGTCATTTCTGAACTGCAAAAGGATGCAGCTAAAATTCTGCCACAACATTGTAATTTACACCATTTATGGGACGCCGACCGATGTGTCATCGACCACGACGCATGCCGGAAGGCTGGTCACTGTTTGTGCTACTGTTATTATTATTTTTTTTATCTTTATTAACAACTTTCAAACAATTGACAAAATTTACATTCATTGCTGTCCACATTAAATCTCAGTCTAAAACATTCAGAGCATGAACAAATATCATTAATCCTTTTAAAATGAACTTCTTTCGATTGAAAATACATATTTTAAGAAAAGTCATCGAGCTCACGTTCCGCCTTCTTCTCAAAATTCCCACGCACTAGTGGACTGTTGGTAATACCCTTCGCCCAGATCATCCATCGATGCGGACTTGGGCAAAGTTTGGATCAAGGGTGCAAAAGGGGCATGGCCAATTTCCACATTTGAGGATTGCGAAATCCTACGTACTCGCACCCGTGGACTGGAACTGAACTGTAACTGAAGGGTGCAAGGCTGGAAGTGTGAGCATTGGGTTTGGGCCAATGAGACGTCTTTAATTTAATCAACATATGGCTGTGGGCGCCTTTTGGCACAATCAGTGATGTCACTCACTGCAGATACAGGCACGGTATGCTGATGTCTTAGCAAAGCTGTAAAAGGGATGATTTTCTGTAGGAAGAAACAAAAGCTGGACCGAGCCAACGTATTTTCCCTGTCACCTTTATCCCGCCGAGAAATTTCCTGGAACTTGTCTAGTGGAAACGCAGCCACTAAATTAGCCAATAAACAATTTTCAGTAAGTTGCATGGGACCTTTCACCCATTGGTCGAGACACATTTCAAACTGCTGTTGTAAATTTGTGTAGAACATTTTTGAGCTGAAGAGGGCGCTAGACTGAAGGTTTTAGGCAGAATTTTAAGTTTTAAAAGAAAATGCACCAAAATACAAAAATAATCACTACACATGTCTACAACACTATAGTACACTTATTTATACTAGTTATCAGCAAAAAAAAGTAGATTTTGGTGTGACTTGCTCTTTAAGGAAAAATGTAAAGACGATCATTGATTAATATTTCATGCTGTTAAGGGTTAACTACATTTTAAAAGGACAGTTCAGATTGATGAAAACTGGTTTGTGTGGAAAAGAAACAAAAGAAAACAAACATTTCTTATTGTACCTGTTGTAGATCGCTCCTCGAGCAACCTCAGTTTGGAGAAACAGACACTAATGGGACAGTTAACAGCCACAGTAGATACAGTTAAATAAGTGGATTTTTGTCTTTGTGAAACTTCTCTGATCTTTTAAACTTTTTAGATGTTCACATAGTTAAAATAAGTTTAAATTAAATAAATACGGTAACGTTTTAAACATTATTTTAAACATGTGAATGAATTTTCAGCCAAAAATAGGAAATCCTGACAGATCTCCACTTATTTTTGCTATTCAACGTAAACCCAACATTTAGGTTTATGTTAGCATAGATTACAATGATAGATCTAAGAGTTTAATTTTAATGAAAATAATCTGCTATAGACCCAGCCCCTCCCAAACTGGCCGTTAGCTCATCCATCTGGTCCGAACCAGCACTGATTCTCTAAGCTGAGTTTGTTTAAAAAGCTACCTCCAACACGTTAAACAACCAAACAATCAAAAAGGTCTTTTAAAAGACATGATGGAGTTTTAACAGACACAACAGCAAAGGCATTCCTGGTTGAGTATGCACAAACACAACGGGGGTGGCACAAACTGGTGCTGGGTTGGGTTGGGACCATACAGTTAAGATGAATCACTTATGGAGATGAAAATACACACTAAACACACACAGTCTATTTACCGTCACTGTAATAGTGGTAATCCTCTGCAGAGGCCAAAGGAGTGGAAATAAGAAGATGAGATTATATATGTTATTTATCCATTCTAAACATATAGTGAGTTAATCTAGAGCATGAGCAAGATTTATTTTCTATTTTCTCATGAACTTTAGATGTTGAGCTGAAAAAAGTACAAGTTATTGTGCTAAATACTTTACTGCCATTGCATAAATGAATGTAATCAAGGTCAAAACAAACATTCGGAGAGAAGGTTAAGCACAGGTTCTCCTGCTGCACATTCTGTTCATTTAGTTAAAATGCAAATGAGCTGACTCTTTCAGGTCTAAATGCCAGACAGAAAAGAAACATCAAAAGGAGATGGTAATCTTGCTTCTATGTCATGTCAGAAGTGACGTTTCAAAGAAAAAACAAAGAAAGAAAATCTTATTTCCTTGTTGCTTTGCCTTCTGTTTATGTGAATAAAAACTGATTTTTGGTATAGACTGGTCAAACCTGCAAAGCCTCTTCGATGTTTCCGTTGTAGTCGATGATTTCGGTGGCTCCTCTGTCTCCTTTCTGCCCAGGAGGACCCTGCGGAACACCAAGAAACACACTTCAGCTACCCGCACTTCACCACAAACGTTTGATTCAAGTTACAGATGAATCGATCAATCGAAGGATCAATTAGGCTGATTTTAAATAATCAGAAAGACATGAGCATAAATCATCAAAATACATACATTTTAATGTACACATACTAAAGACTTGTATTTGGGTTGTTAACCCTAACCCATCCATTAATTTTAATAGAAAATGGCCACTAAGCTGAAATTCCTAGAGATCTGTAACTACAAAATTATCAGTTTCCCTTTTTAACTCTATTTTTGACCAGCTGCTCTCTGGTGGTGTGATGCCCAGCAATGATTTACATCCCAACCAAAGTTTAAAATGTAAACATATACACAAATAAAAGGGCTCACCTTTGGACCATCAAATCCCAGATCTCCTTTATCTCCAGTCTCCCCCTGATGTAAAATAAAACCCAAATATCTCAATATAGATTAAATAATTTAAACACGTAAACTATTTTTGTGTATTTTAGAACGTGTTGCATTTCGACAAACACTTTTAAAGCCATAGTTTAAAACTCTGATGCTCCTGTTTGAGGAAGTACAAGTCAGCTGGAGGAGAAAATAGCTTCAGACGTCAGGATCTGGAGTCTTATTTCCTGATATCTCCTCAAATAACTCAAGTGTGAAGGAGTTCTGCTGTGTGGTGGAGTAGCTGATGCTGACTGTTAGCTTCTACTAGCAGAGATGTTCTCTGCTGTTTCCTGGACGCTAAACCAACAGCAACCTTTCCCATTGTGATTCAAGATGGGTGAGTCCGTGAATGCTAAGTGACAGTGCGACGTAGATCCGTCGGGATTTTCTAATCTATTAGAAGCTAATGCAGGAGATAGGTGTAGGAGACTATTTTAATGTTCAGCCTGCATGAAAAACTCAGAGTGATCGATTATTATCAGAAATAATCATTAAAAATGTTTTTTCAGTGTTCCACACCTTTAACTGATAGCAGCCATCTGGAATTGAGCTGATGTGTAAGGTTATCCAATGAAGGTGACCAAACCAGTGCTTTAAGTGGATATGAATAAGTACCACTATGCACCTCAATATACACCCACCAGAGCGGGGTGGGGTGAGTTAGAGATTTTAACAGAAGATGAGTGACTGTAAAACGTACTAGTACGCTTTGCACACTTGAAAAAAGCCCTGGCATTGTAAGTGGTGCCAGCATTTTAAAGACGTGATACTGCATATGCATCCATACCAGCCCGCTCAAATGAGAAATCTGGAGTTTTATGTCTGAGGTCATCATCCAGAGGTAGAAATTATGGCATTTTTTGACCAAATAAAGCTGAGCAGTCGCAAAGGTGAAAAATATCTGAACCAGGAGTGAGAAACACACGGTGGATATCTAAGATCAGCAAAACACAAGCAGACAAAAGCTAATATCCCTACTTTAATTAAAGAAAACACATGAGCCATGCTCACCTTTGACCCTTTGAGGCCAGGCAGTCCAGCCTCTCCTTGTGAACCCTGGCATTAGTGAGAAAGCCGTATAGTAAGGATTAGAAATAAACATGACAGTTTATATATAAACCATAACAATCATAAAAGAGGCTCATTTGAGACAAGTCTATTAGTCATTAAACGTTTGTTGTGCGGATATTTCCCAGGGGAAATACGGTCAACACTCCGACTCCTCTTCAGGGACCAGCACATCCTGCTTTGGTAAAATAAAACAACTTCTAACATGACTCAGCAAACTCTGAAAGTGTTTATTTGAACTCTGTCAGCAACACCGGCTGGGTTTCACGGATCGGGTCAGGAACGGGATATGGAGCAGATTTGAGTTTAGACTGGAGCTTAAGCAGCCATGAGGTGATGGCAGACATCAACAATGCTGATCTCATTTATATGTGGTTTATTTTAAGCTTTGAAAGCCAAAAACAAACAAGGTATAATGGTTAAACCAGCTTTCTTTGATAGTTTAATAAGAGAACTCATTCACCTGTGTAGTTCACTAATGACACACTAGATGGTAGCAAAGCAATAAAAACAGATTAAACTTTCATTTAAACATGAACACTGACCTTAGGCCCAACTGGTCCAATTTCTCCTCGTTCACCCTTTCCTGGTGGTCCATGGTCACCTCTCTCGCCCTTATCAGACACAACAAAAGTTAAAATCTGACCTCCTGCAGCCTTTAAAACAACACAGAACTACTGATCCAGACCCAGGTTCTTGTCCTTGTGAGCAGGAGTGGTGGTGCACCTTCTAAACATCCAACCTGGCTTTCAGCTCTCTCAATGATCCTCCACACTGTAGATATTTTTACTGTGTCAGCACAATATGCCTTTGGTGGATGGCACCTTGGACGAGCTGCATTTGGGATGCAGCTTACCCCCCCCCCCCCCCCAAAAAAAAAAAAAGAATCTGTTCTTTATGTTGTAGGTTCGACCTCCAAAAGATGTTATGATTTAAATAAGGTGAAATAGCCACTAGAGGGGGATGTTGGAAAGCTCAGCCTGTTATAGCTGACAGCCTGACAGCTCAGATCAAGAACCGGAGAACCTATCCAGGAATGTTCATCACTAATCCCCCCCCCCCCCCCCCCCCCCCCCCCCCCCCCACACACACACACACACACACACAAACACAAACACTTAATAATTTTCTAAGCATAAACAGAGTTTAAGAGGTTGTGGATGAATAATTATTTTCTTAATTTATTCTGTCTGTTTCTAAAGTTTCAGGTGTTTGTGTGAATCTGCACAAAAAGTTTCAGATGCATACACATTTTATTATCTAGGGTCTACAAACAGCTTTTGGGACTGTTGCAACCCACATAACCAGGAGCCAGCTCATCTACCCACTACAAGCTGCCCAAGAGCCTCATGCAGCTTCAGCCTTTCATACAGAACAGACTCATGCATGTTCCAGTTCAGAGCTGGTCAAGTCAAGTATAAGCCAGAGTCACGTCTACCCAAATCAAACCAGCTCAAGTCAAATAAGTCATGTCTACTCAAGACAAGTCAAGTCTGGTCAAAACAGGCCTGGTTGGTTAAATCCAGTCAAATCATTAAACCCATGTCGAGCCAAGCCAAGTTTCTTGCTCTGTAGAAATTTCAAGTTGAAAGAAAGTCAAGCCAGCTCTGTCTTGTTTATCCTGATAAATGAAAACTTTTGTGGTTTGCTTCGTTTTGTGTATTTGCTGACTCCTTTGGTCCAAATCTACGGAACATGACATTTATCCACTTTTTGTATTCACTTTAGTTGATAAGCTGTGGTGATGAAAATGAATGTTTTGTGGCTCCTAATGTTACCGAGTTATAGATGAACATGTAATAAAGCTTTTCAGAGAATTTCGTTCAAATCCATCCAGTGATTCATGAGAAAAGCAAACAGGCAGCAAAAAATATAATATTCAGTCTTTCACCTTTCAACGGTGGGCGATAACAACAGTAACAGGACATAAGGACGTAAATCAGACGGTGTAATGTCTACTAATGTCTTGTTAATGTCTAAATTGAAGTGTAGATGTTTCAGCTCCCCCTCTTTGATGAGGGTCACCCACCTTAGTTCCTGGGAGTCCTGGCAGCCCTGGTTCTCCCTGGGGACCAAGAAACCCAGGCTCACCCTGAAAAACCAAACATAAATAAATAGCAACTATTACACACTTTCAGCACCGGACCTTTTAAACAGGTCCTGCCGAACCCATACACGTGATGTGTGCTGTATATATTCATATGGACAGCCATGCACTTACTGCTCACGCGCGTTCACGTGCAACACAAACAGGCTCAGGAACACATGCATAAATTACAAACACAGGCAGGCGCTCAGCGGCGTGCTAATTCATCCTCTGGTTTCACATTTATTGACATTTGGCTCCCTGATACGACTGACCTGATTAGAAACTCATCAAGACTCACAGAAGTGAGAGGAGAGGGGAAAAAATGAGCCACTTATGAATACGTTTACTATTTTTATACTTTTACTCAGGAGGAATGAGATTCCAGTATGAGGTGTGTTACCGGCCCTCATTTGCATTGATTTGGTTGTGAAACCACCTAAATGGAATTAATCATTAGACCATCTGCAACCAGAACATTTTGGATGTTTGGCTCCCAAACGTTTCAAACCTTGAGCGCATACGCAGCAAAGAATGTGGAGGAGAATAAAGAACAACCCGCGAGTGGTAGGTTGGCAGAAGAAACAAAACATTTTGTTAGGATCCATCAAGCATACAGGCCTCTTAAGTACAAACAGGAGTGTATAAAAAGTGTAAAAACGAAAGGGTGGTTTTTCTTTCTTTTACAAGGCCAGCACATTACAGGAAAACAAAACAACATCATGCCTGCGTGAGCTTTTCTTGCATTCACACGTTATTTTTCAAGTTAATGGCCCTGAAATACATTAGTCTGGTTACAGTACTCTTAATGTAGGATGGCAGTGGAGTTATGATGTGCCATTTATGCATTTAGCTTTTGCTACTGGTGCTTTCAGTGACAATAATGGTAAAAAAAAAAATCTTGGCTGCAAATAAAAGTTGTCCAAATTCCATCGACAGCAGTGAGGGTAATCTGGAGTCCTTCACTGAAAAATTGAGTTAGAGCTAAACCAGGGCCCATGGGAACACATGATGAAACTAAATCTCTTAGTTGGTTTCCTTTTTACTATGGACTAAATGGTAAAAGGTCTGATGTTCAATATTACTAAGTGCCAAATTAAAGAGATCTTCCACCATGAGGTTCTAGAGGTGTGTAGAACTAGGTCCAAAATGGTTCTTAAATAAATAAAAATAAAGCTTGAAAACATTTGTTTTTCCTCTGCTTTTCCACTCTAACAGTACCTGATTATCTCCCTGGTATATTATGAGTTAGAGGATCATGGAGCGGGGAGACATTTTATCTACACAGATCAAATCTTTGTTTCATTTTTGCAAACAGACTTCTAAATGTTATTGTATAAACACTGTTTTGTTTCTGAACAGTCTTTATTAATCTGTAATTGGTATTTATAAGCACCACTGTGAACAGGAGTCACACCTAGCATTCCAGGCAGGATTTATAAACACCAACTGGTGACATTAAAAGAGCTGGCATGGTTTATAAAACTGTTTCAAACAGTGTTTATTAATGCAGTCTAAAACGGCTCACTGCTGACCGAATTTCATTTGGTGACTAAACTAATTGCAGAGACAATGAGATTTAGTTCCTGCTAATTTTACTTCAATTCAATTCAAATCAAAAATACTTTATTAATCCCAGAGGGAAATTGATTCTTCTTCTAAACATTTGAATCACATATTTTGTATAATGATAGTAAAAGTGAAACTGACTTTCGTCTTGCCCAGCAGAGGGTCGGTGCTGAGATAGTACTGGGTTCTCTGCGCTGATTTGGTTGGCGCTGACTTTACATGAACTCTTTTGTTTCTCCTTCACCTGTCTCCATTGTCACATAGCAGGATCCACAAGGAGTATTCCCAAATGTCAACTGTTCTCAAAAATTTTATTTAGAAATTAGAATGACAACATTGTGGCAGGACTAATGAGACAAATACTCTAAATCGTGCTTTGGAACCACTACCAACTACCTAAACTGAGAGTTAGCAAAACAAAACAGTAAGTGATGTAATTACATGGCTGCAATGCTGCTCTGTGAAAAACAAACGGAACGTAATACAAAAACCAGACCCAGTTCAAGCAACAGTCACTGTCTTCTATTGACTGTGAATGCTCTATTAAGCATCATTAAAGTGTTTACACTAGCAAAACCATAGCTGCTAAACCAACCCAGTGGAATCCATACTTTAGCCTTTACTTAGACCTTTATTTGAGTTTTAAATGGCTGAACACTTCTCTAGACTAGTCTCCATCCAACTGGATGTTAGGTAGGCTTTTTCTTCTGAGCCTCTAGACTGGTGTCAGCTGCAGGTAAGATATTAACTCCACAAAACTTCTCAACAAAGCCCCATTTCCATCAGAACTGTCCTTTTAGCTGCAGCAGTTTCGGCCCATTTTGCACTGACTGTCTTAATTGCCACTACCTGGAAATGAGTTAAAGCTCTTCCCAGGGATGCTATTCGTGAATCTTAATGGGACAATTATCCTGCAGAATGGTGGTGTGTGCAAATGAAAAGCACTGAAATCATCATGTTTCACTGCATTGAATGTGCTATTGTCTCTCTGCAAAGGCTGCAGATGGAACGTTCAATCCTGTGTGCTAATCCCTGAAAGCATAAAATGCCAGGCTAGTCAGACCTCCTGTCATAAACGAGTCATGACAGGAGGTCAGCTGAGTGTTGCTCTGAGCTCTCAGATGGGCTGAAGCGGATGGAAAGGGACAACACCGAGGGTATGACGGGAGGTGGAAAGGGATGAAAACAGCGAAGCAATTACCTTTATCCCTGGCAGTCCAGGCAGCCCTGGTAGTCCTGGCTCTCCCTACACAGGAAGAGTGTGACACGTTACAGCCGAGCCAAGCCAAGCTGAGTGAGGCCTCATTTGTTGGCTCTTTGGGGTTTCATTAGCCCTACATGCTTTGTGTTGTCTCTGGCTATGGAGCTGCTGTACTTGAGCTGATTGTCATCTGCTTTTGGGAGCGTTAGCAGAGGAGAAGGCGCATGCATTTTCATCCCAACTCATGCAGCCTTGGCTTGACAGTTTGATTAGTGCTTGTTAAAACACTCAGCGCTTCACAACAGCGTTTAACTCTTATGGTTTCATTGGTTAGGACAGGTGTGAAAGGTTCTGGTTTCTAAAAATGCAAAAAAAAAAAAAAAGTTTCATACTTTTGGGTTAAGGTTGCAAAAAGATATTTGAGAAAGCAGCAGCGGCTTTAGGATTATTAGAGTTTGGGAGTGTGGGAAGTTGGCCTGTTTGTCTATAACGGGCGAGTCGTTTGTTTCAACTGTGGAAAAACCAAAGGCCAGGACCTTTTAGTGGCCTCTGTGAGGTTTAAAACATAAAAAGTCTGACTCGGAATAATTTAATGCTCAATTCAGCCCATCGTATTTATGGCTTATGAAAAAGGAATGATTAGTGCTGCACGAGAATGATCAACTTTAACGGCACTCGGTGGGATCAGAGTGGAGGTTGTAAATTTACATTGTGGCCGGTGAAAGTGCAGTAAATGAACGGCAATAGTGGACTACTACTCAACATAAAACGATATGAATGGTGGTCAGATGGCTGTTCTCTAATGGGAAACAGCATCTCGATTCTGTGATTGTTGATAATGATGAAAAGGATTTGTTGTAAGGATTAGGTCAAGTAGATTATGGAAGACATAAAGGAACAGTAAGCAGTCATAGTTAAAGCATAGATTAAACATTTTAAAGTCACTTCAAAAAGGCTTACATTTGACAATCTGACCCCGTACTATGATATAAAGTAGATAATCTTTCACAATTTATATTTTATTTGATTCCCTCTACCTTTTTTTCTACAGCTAAACAAATCGTTTATGTGAGTCTACAGCGTTGACTAGCAGAGTTGTATATCCACAGAAGGGAGCTGTCAGTCAACAAGAATGCACCCAGTTCCCTAGCAGGCAGTACGGGGCGATACGGATGCATTAGCTTAGCACAACAACCTAGCATGAATGCTAACTCGACCTGCACTGGATTAATGTCAGGCTGTAAGCTTCAAGCTAACTGTGGAAGAGGAGGGAGGGGAACAAAAAGGGATTTATCTTTGGTGTTTTGGAACTAATTGATTAGCGTTTAACCATAGCACTGCTTAATGTTTTAGTATGTTGTAGCGTTAGCAATGAATGGTTCCAGTGTCCTGCCAGTTTTAGGTGTTTCCCTGCTTCAACACTGCAGATTTGATCAAAACAATTGATTAGCAGCTCCTGCAGAACCTGATGAAGGCTGAGGAGAGCATTCAGCAGTTTGAATCAGGTGTGTGCAAGCGATACACGTTGAAAACTTGCAGTCACTGTTGACATCCATTAGCGCTACATTGCTATTTAGCTATTTATGTGCGCATGTGTGGTATGAGGCATGGCTTTCAGCTCCTTCCAGAAGGATAGAGGAGGCTATAGGGAGCCTAAAGCCTGATTCATGCTTCTCCGTCAGCTCCAACAGGGAGAGACACACACGCACGGACAGAGACGTTTTGCCCTCATACTTCTTCATCTCCTGGGGAGTGTTGCAAAGCAATTCCTCACCAAGACAACAGAGGGCGTAGCGCTGTTCTGTGGTATCCTGTCGTGTATCGGTCCAAGATAGTGTGTTTATATTGTGTTATTTTGTATATAAGAGACTTTTTAACACAGACAAATTTGTCTCTCATCCTCCTCCACCTCTTCATGGGCTCGCCACCTTTAAACCCACATTTCCTGTCATTTCCGTCCACAAATAAAACGCTTGCTGCGCATCTTTTCACTCGTCCAGTCATGGGGGAATTAAACGTTCATGTTTTTAGAGTTTTTTCATGAGGTATTCTTCAAGCTGCTCCGTGTCTGACGTTAGTTATCCTCGGCACTCTTTACGTTTTTGAGGGCGCAATGGCGGCGTTGTAGACGACAGCGGCGTCCTGACCAATCACAAGCTTGCATTCTGTCTCGACGGATGGATGTTTAGAAAAGAGAGCTCGACTCCGTCCGTCCTGGCGGAGCTCTCCAGCAGGCCCGTAAGGATGGATAATGGCGTTGCGTGTCTCCGCACTGACGCAGACGGAGAAGCATGAATCAGGCTTAAGTCACACCCATCTACTTCCGGACCATGGGTCCCCGGAAGAACGAAAACAGTGAATGCAAGTCAATGGGGCAAAAAACGCAATTTTCTAATTCCGCTTGTTTTGTGCCACGGATTTCACATATGATGTCCGTGAATTTTAAAGGCACATTTTGATACCAAGAAAGTGCTTATTTTCGAACGGGGGAAACGCTATTTTAGGTTTTGTGTGAAAATAAGTCCAGGCCTACAAATGCACTTCATGAAAGTGATGTCATCGAACCAGACACGGAGAATAACAGAGGGAAAATGGCTGTAAGTTCAGCCAACTTCAAATCCTTCCTTCAGGAGGAAAGAACCATCATAAATCTGGCCATGAAGTAAGTAGCAGCTACGCTAGAGGAGAGGAGATTCTGTGGTGACGTCACATACGCAACATGCCGATGTCTGATTTGTAATCTTTCTAATTAAGTACTTTTACAAGATGATAAATATCAAAGTACGTGACTGGCGTGGTCGAAACACCCATCATTAGTGTTCATTTAAATTGCATTACAACATATGTGCGATCCAGGTCATGTAGTAATGCGGATTAGAAAATGGCGTTTTTAACTTGCATTCTTTTTCTCATTCTTCCGAGGACCCATGAGTCAGTCGGAAAGGGAGGAGACTTAGGCTTACTATTGCTGTTTAAATTTCCAAATCTTCTCCTCTTGTCCTAGATGACATCTTGCTACAGACCATCACAGCCATATACGTAGGCATGGCATGGACTGGTGCTGGCTATTGGAGCTACCGTACAGGCCAGCTGCCATCTAGGATGGGTCTTCATTCGCCCTCAGTATTTCTACTAAGGAAGATGTTTACCAAACTAAAAAAGCATTTATGTTTTGTCACAAAAACAGAAATATGGTATGGCATGATAGTTAAAATATAGATGCAATTAAATACAATAAATTAAAACAATTTAAATATTAAATCCCAACAGGTAGGTTTCCACTTGATCTAGTTTAGATAGTGCACCAGTTGTTGCAATTGTACGCGGCACAAAAAATGGTTATAGTTACTCACCCTGTGTTTGAAGAGTGAGAAACCTATCCAATATGGTGGCGATTACGTAAGCACATCTACATATTCATGTCTAGGCAGACCACAGCTTTAAGCTTTACAGGGTTTTCTCCCAGCACAAAGGCAAACAAAAATTGTGGAAAAGTTTTTCTCTCTGGAAGCAGTTTGTCCAAACGGAAGGAAAAAAGTGTTATTTATGTGCAACAAATAAGATTTACAGGTGTAATAAGATGATTCACTGGTGAACTCGCAGCAGCGTGTTCGTGTAAAATTTTCATTTTAAGGGTGATTAGCTCTTCTTCTGCTAGATGATTATCGTCGCTCATCAGCATCTATATGACAAAGCCATCATGATTTAATACTTAGTTGTTTCCTTAGGAAAGTAAAACAAATAAAAAAACGATTGAGAGAAAGGTTATAGGAGCAAACAATACTGAAACCACAAAGGGCTTTTAGCTGCATCAATGCAAACCAACATAACAACATCGTACAGGAACTGAGAATAGTGGTAAGTGTGTTTAACAAAACATCTAAGGAACTCTTTAATGTGTGTTTAAGGTTTATGGAAGTCTTTAAATACAAAACTGCTGATGACTGACAGCTTCATTGATACTTTGCACCAAAACATGACTAAAGCGACCTCCGTTTTGCATCAGTCTTTAAATGTTGGCACTTTGCAGTAATAGCTATTTTGGTCTGTTGCAGAATTTCTGTTTTACTTTGATGAATGTTTGTTTCAATAATGAAATATAATGTAAAATGGGTTTATTTGTGCAGAATATTAAAGCTGTTACCTTCATTCCACTTCGTCCAGGTTCTCCAGGCTCACCCTGTAAAGCATGAGAAAAATGGCACTGCTTAAATTGCTTAAGTGTCTGGATTTATATCAATATTTAGATTTTTACTAATCGGCCCATTTTTTTTTTTACCTATGTTGAGGAGTGCTAACTGAAAAATGTACATGAAATAATTTTTTCATAAAAATAATACTTAAATATCTGTGACCCATGAGGACTATTAACTTGACAATAGTCAACTTGATAATTAAACACCCCTGATCAGGCTGATTTTGTTTTGAAATATATAACAAAAATCTATCATTTTACTCTGTGCAAAAATAAATATTTCAGTTATTATAAATAAAAAAATATGTTTCATTTCAGGTTATATCAGTCAAAATTTGGAGATTTTGTTCAAAAAACAGCGTTAATCTGCTTTTGAACTAGTCTGTGTCTTACAGATTAGGTCTTTGATGCTAGCTTGTACCTTTGAGCTAAAGAGAGAGAGAGAATGCTACAAAAGTAGCCACATACAAAACTGTCACAATTATCGAAGCACTCACCTTGATCCCTGCTGCAGAAGAACCGGCATCACCCTAAAATTAAAAATCAACAGAAAACAAAAATTTTAACCCACGTTACTTAATTTCATGGGGACATATCCTGACTGTTTAAACATTCAAATAGCTCTATGGTTTATACAAAACAAATGTCCATGCAAAGAACATGTATGAAGTGTTTTGCACAAACTCAGTATCACACTTCAGTAACTTTGTACAGGACATTTTCAGTACCTGCCAGAATTAGTCATTTCAGGGTTCTGTCACTTTAAGAAAACAAACTATAGCTGGCCATGCCCTCCATCCCCTGACTGGCTGCTATGAGATGAAGAGCTCAGATATGTGTGTGTGTGTGGGAATGGGGGGGGGGGGGTGGGGGGGGGGTGGGGGGGTGTCTCTCAGAGAAGAGCTGCTGCTCATTTAGTCTGCAGGTACTTCTATGCTAATTATCCTTATTATGATGTTACAATGTGGGACTTTTTGAAACGGCTTGTTTTATGCAAATAATTCCTGAAACCAAACACTACCAGAAAACAGATGGACACTTTAATTTTTCAAGTGTTTATAGATGCGGTAGTGAACACACATGGCAGCACAAAAGTATTTAACCCTCCCACAATGTTGATGGGCCCCAGCTGCTTTTTTATTTCATTTTTTTACTCCACTTCACCCTTGCCAAGAGATAAACTGTCAACCATGTTTAACCACCCTCTGTCCTGGTGGGGTCACCTGATAGGACAGTGGAAGTGTTAATATGCCCCTTTAAAAACTCTGTGAGACAAACAACCCCGCCCCCAACAAATATATCACTACAAAGGTAGACAAAGATGATTAAAAAAAAGCCAATTTACTGAACAATACTGAACACAATTACACAACAGCTGCATTTCGTTGGCTGAAACTGAGGAAATCCAATCAGAAGGATGACTGTTGGTTATTTTAGACAATAAACGCTGAGTGCAGCTTCTCACAGGAGTTTGGTACGGCATTTGTGAAAGATTTTTTCAATGTTTTTACAACGTCAGAGTACAGCTGTGTAGTGATGGTGACACGAGGGCTGAAATCTTACACTGTAATAGAAAATAATCCACAGTAAACGAGGCTTGAAAGATAAACTGCAACCATTCAAAGCCTTTTTTCTCCAACATCTTCAGGTAAGGAATTGAACGAGATGGAGACAAGAACTATTTATGTCGTCTTTTTCCAGCAAAGCTATCCAGGCGCTCTGCTATGCATCGCATCACTACTGCAGCATACACTAACAGCAGACATAAAATAAGGGGCCAATAAGCGTAATTATGGGCAGTTGGTGGGAAAATGGAGCAGGGAGGAGGACGTTGGGTATCGCTCTCTAGTGTAGACTCTGTGGTTTTCACTACACATCATGCCTCATGCTAAAAAGTCACTGAAGGAATGCATTTCACCCTCAGCTTTTTATGGGAATCATTATGATGCATAGCACACAAGTCAATGTTTAATTGCAGCTTTTTTCTTTTTTTCTCCCTCTGCCACAATAAACCCTTACTGTTTACTTTGCGGCTCACTTCAGGGTGCCGTTACCTCTTTCTAATAACTTATTACATTTTTATACAAACAATTTCAGAATTTATCTTACTTTTTATGGAAAGTACAGCATCTGAGTGGGTGAAGAAAGAAAGCTCTCCTTTATTTATGTTTTACAACAAACAAAAGCCTCAGCACGATGTTACACACGACCTTTATGGCCACATCCTTAGTATGGATTTCGTGTTGTGGTTTATCTTTCATACAAAAAACAATCACACTTTTATGAATGCATCAATAGGAGGGAGCAGGCAGCTTTTACACAAAACCTAGCACCCGTCATGTAGAGGGAAGTGTGTGAGGAAGCTACACAGGCAATTAACACTTCAGTCCCATGCTGCCATTGAGAAAACCCCAAGAAGGATTTCTGTCACTACAGATCTGACACCAAGCGCGAGAGCCAAGTGATCATAGTTTTAGCTCTTCCAAATGTATGAGATGAAAAAAGCAGTAGAGTAGCAGAGGTGAGGTGTGGCACAAGAGAGTGTTGAAAAGTCTCTTCTGGGCCAATTACCAAGCCAAGGCTGCAGCTTGAGGTTTAACCGCAGGGCTGAGTGAGACGACGGGCTGTCACCACAACCCCTTCGTTACAGCCACCCAGACCTGTCGGTGCGTACTGGCGTTTAAAGATAATGGCCTGAAGCTCTCACATTGGGTGCTTGGTAAATTAGGCCATTTCTTACTTTTTGTCTGGGAGAGGGATGTGCAAATGAGATGTCGAAGTCAAAGTCAGTTTTATTGTCAATTCTGCCACATGTACAGGACATACAGAGAATGAACATACGTTACTCTCAAACTCTCGCTAGATAGCAAATAAACATTTAGTATAAAAAAAGTAACCAAGTTCAGAGAGACTTTGGGGGGAAAGAGAGGAGAGGGGGGAGAGCCTGGAGGGAGTTTAGCTTCCTAACTGCCTGATGGACAAAGCTGTCCTTCAGTCTGTTGGTCCTGGCCTTGAGACTCCGCAGTCTCCTCCCTGATGGCAGCAGCTCGAAGAGGCTTTGCAATGGGTGAGTGGGATCAGCCGCAATGCAAAGGGCCTTTTTTGTGAGGCGGGTGCTGTAAATGTCTGGTAGGGAGGGGAGAGAGACCCCAATGATCTTCTCTGCTGCTCTAACTATATGTTGGAGGGTTTTAAGGCAGGATGCGTTGCAGGCTCCGAACCACACAGTGATGCCGCACGACAGGATGCTCTCGATAGTGCCTCTGTAGAAAGTGTACAGGATGGGGGCTGGTGCTCTTGCTCTTCTTAGTTTGCGGAGGAAGAAGAGACGCTGCTGTGATTTCCTAGCCAATGCTATGGTGTTGTTCATCCAGGAGAGATCCTCTGTAATGTGCACACCCAGGAACTTGGTGCTGCTCACTCTCTCCACAGACACACCGTCGATGGTCAGAGGAGCATGCTGAGTGTGTGCTCTCCTGAAGTCCATAACAATCTACTTGGTCTTCTCCACATTTAGAGAGAGGCTGTTGTCAGCACACCATGTGGTAAGGCGGCTCACCTCGTTCCTGTAGTCTGTCTCATCCCTGTGGCTTATGAGACCCACCACTGTTGTGTCATCCGCAAACTTGATGAAGAGGTTAGAGCTGTGTAATGGTGTACAGTCGTGGGTCAGCAAAGTGAAGAGGAGGGGGCTCAGCACACATCCCTGAGGGGCCCCCGTGTTTAAAATGATGGTGCTGGATGTGTTTCTGCCAACCCGTACTGCTTGTGGTCTTCCAGTGAGGAAGTCCAACAGCCAGTTACACAGTGAGGTGTTGAGACCCAGCTGGACCAGTTTTTGAGTAAGCTGTTTGGGGATGATGGTGTTGAATGCTGAACTAAAGTCTATGAACAGCATTCAGACATGAGTCTTCTTTGTCCAGATGTGTGAGTGCTGAGTGGAGTGCAGTGGAGATGGCGTCATCGGTCGAGCGGTTGGGCCGGTATGCAAACTGGAAGGGGTCCAGGGAGGGGGGCAGAACAGACTTGATATGTTGCATGAACGTTCGAAGCACTTCATAAGATGTGGGACTGTCTTGGTAGACATTGTGTGTGGAGTGGCAGATTGGGGTGGTGGTCCCCATTTTTAGGAAAGGGGACCAGAGGGTGTGTTTCACACACACTTGCTTCAGCCTCCCTGGAAAAGTCTATTCCAAGGTCCTGGAGGGTGAAGTTGGTTGAGTAATTGAGTTTTAATCTCCGTTACATTTTGGGGTTTTCAACAATCAAACAGAATGAGCCGATTACTTGCTCCTCCTCTCCGGTTGGTTCACACACTGCTCCAAGTTACAAATTGGGTACACCTCCCACACAGTGTTGCCAGTTTAGGCAGTTTTTGCTTTTTCTGATGACATTTTAAACCCCCTTAATAACATTTCTTTGAAAGTGTCAAGAACTGAACTAGGAGGACCCATGAAGACACCAAACACAATTAACAGTCTTTATTAGCCTGAAGCTATGAGGAGGTGTTACCAGGGTAATACTCAGGTAAGGGCAGAGTCGAAGGCAGGTGTGGGTCGAAGCCAGATCGGGACAAAGCAGGTACAGGGAGCATGCTAGAGACGTGGTAGTAGACAGGCAAGGGTCGTGGTGGCAGGAAGAGTTCTTGGCAAGGGTCAGGCGTGGAAACGAGGTCAGGAGGCTATGAACAGGCAGGATGTAAAAAGGCTGGAAGATTTACTAGCATAAGTGTTCAATAATCTGGCACTGGCATGGTGCTGGACCAAGAGTCTTATAGGGAGCAATGCAGGTGGAGCTGATGAGGAGTAAATGAGAGACAGGTGGTTTGGATGATGTTGATGGTGAGTTGACTGTGGTTGCTGGGGAAACTAGGCTTGGCTTGAGCGGTGGCATGAGGGGACCAGGTGTGATGCATGAAGGCTGATGAGGTGAATGATGGTGCATGGAGGTCAGGGCATGGAAGGTTCATGACAGAAAGCGTATTTATAAAAAAAAATAGCAACATTTCGAATGACACTTAGCTACTTCCTGTACAACTCTGTTGTCCATTTTCTTTGCAGGTTAGCCAAAAATCCAGCCTGCACCCTTGATCGTCCTTAGAGATGGGAATGATCTGCGCATGTATGAACAGCATGACCACATTACCAATCTACTGACCAATCATAAACCTTTTTTGATTGATCTCACCCAATCACAAAACCAGTTGTTTTAAAAGCAAAATAAATTCAAGATACAGTGAACCAAATAATAATGTAAGCTACAGGTGGCATCACGCTACTGTACACACTCACACAGCACAGCAGGACAGGACTCCATAATTGTTATACAACAAGTGGTGGACGTTCAACGCAGATGCTTACATGTTTCTATTTACTTTATATTGGAAGCAGTTGCACTGTAATTGTCTTGTGTTAGTTATCAGCAGAGATGTGGACTTGAGTCACATGACTTGGACTCGAGTCAGACTTGAATCGTTATTTTAATGACTTCTGAGTTGACTTGATAAAATCTATAAAGACTCATGACTTGA